CTCCCACAGCGAGCCCTGAATTATTTATCAGTGAATGACTGTTGCTTCCTCTCTTTGGTTTTCTTTTTCTGAACCTGCCACTCCAGCTAAAGCGAACCTTAAGCCTTTATCGTGTTTCCAAATGCTTTGAAACCACAGAGGGAGGTGGTTTTGCAAAGATAAGGGCAATCAAAGAGGAGATTGCTCTCCTGGCCAGTGGGGTAGTTATCAGCATGCTAAGGGAGCGGGTGGTTATTTGTAGCGTCATGCCATGTTCAAAGTGCTGTTTGATTATAAAAGAAAATCAATTCTCTTCCAGCCCTCTATGAGCTGCAACATGGTATATTGGTTGTTTTTCCTCAAGGTATAAATACTCACAGCAGCCCATCAGCTACTCTGACTTAGACCTGAGATGCTGTATTCTGTAACCCGTGCCTTCGTCTGTCTCACCATCCATTCACTAATTTATTCAAGGGCCAGGAGTTACGGAGGGAAACGTGGTACAACCAAAAAGTGGAAGCACACTTGAGATGTGGATGAGCAAGAACTGTAATGATCAGTGGAGACGTAGACAGGACAGAAGCCAAATCAACCTCCACACAGTATTTCTCCAACTTCAGTCACTGTCAAAAATTCAGGGTTGCTTGCCATACCTGAGGATTATTGTTAACTATAGGATTATTACTTAAGATCCATTAAATCCATTCACTTAAAACAACTTAAATGCCAACTGTGGTCTCATCCTAAACATTACTAGTCATAAAGATCATGGTTTTGATATTATCTTTTTCTGCCATATTACAATAAATGCGCAGCTATATAATCAATCAGGTCATGTGTCTTGAGCAGCATGGGCAATCAGTGATACAAGTACCACACCATCTAGGAATCTTCCTTTCACAAAAGGATTTGGGGCAAATGGATCAGGATGGAAATACTGGCTTCTGTGTGTTTGCACGTATCTGAAATACAAACACGTTTCACCTGACCATTATTTTGCCCCATGGTCCTTCTGTGAAGGCCTCCCTTTAGTAATAAATCAGTGATCTGCTTTGTACAACTGATTTCCTAGACACAGCAAGAAGAATGGGTTGGGTGACTGTTTTGGTGATTAGAACATGAGCCGGTGGCCTGAATACTCATAGAGATCACATATCTATTCGGTCCTGATGCAAGAAGTGTCACTCTTTAGACACATATCACATACGCTCCCAAAACTCAAATAACAAATGTCACACGAAGCAATCGAAAATGCTTTCCAGGGAAGGTTTAGGATCAGTCGGTTTTCTCTCTCAGCACTTTGTTTTAGTCTTCAAGAATATGGGACCTCCAGGCTGCCTCCTCAGCTCATTTTCCTCTGAATAGACCACCCTCATAAAGAGCTATTTTTTTGGTGCAGAGTGTGGGGCATGCAGGTTGGTAGGTGTGTTAAATATACTTTAAACTGCTTCCGTCTTTCCTTTGTCAAACATTCACCACATAGGCACGACATCCAGGCCTTGGGCTGGATGCTGGGGAAATCACAAAGAGCAAAACAGACATGGTTCTTGCCTCCTGGCGCGTACGGTATAGCTTGGGAGAAAGACACAGAGCCATCTCCCAGGTGAACAGAAAAGGGCTCTGCGGACGGACGGACGCGGCATTTGAATTGCAGCTGCGGGCGGGGGTGAAAAAAGACTGCCTCAGGCAGAGGAAACAGCCAGTGCAAAGACCCCCCTCTAGCGATGGGGCAGGACAGGAGGGCGTCCTGCCGCCAAGCAATGAAGAGTGGTCGGAGCCTGGGACAAGTGGGGCTAGACAGGTGTTGGCCCATAGCCATTGTCAGGAGTTTGGTCTCTGATCAAAGAGTGACGGGGAACCACTAAGGGGTAGGACTCAACAGAAACCGAGGCTCTGTCCGCAGTGAAGAAGAGGTAAATGGGTACCAGGCACACAAGCAGCAGTACCTACGGACATGCCCCGAACATTGTCTATCCAAAGCAACTAGCCCCTCTCCCACCTCCCATAATCGAGGCGGTTCACTGTTTCATCTCAGTGCATGGCCTCAGCATTCACCCAGTAGCTCAAGTCAAAAATCCAGTGTCAGCCATGATACCTGCCCTTGTCTTCACCCCCCTACGCCATAGCTGATCCATGGCCAAGTCCTGTCCATTCCACCTCTTCACCGTCTCTGGAATCATTCACTTCTCCATCTCCACCACCATATTCCTGCAGTTGCCTCTTGCTGAACTACTGCAAGTGTTTCCTAGTTCTCTCCTATTGTCTTGGCCCTACAACCTGTTTTCCGTACAAAGTCACTGTTTTCAAATACAGATCTGATCATGCCACTCCTCTGTCCCAAGTCCAGGGAACCAGGGTAAATCTTGATCAGCCAGAGCCAAGCATGGCGCATACATTCCATTTGCCCGATTGATTATGGGTGGAGACCCAGTGACTCATTTATGGTCACTGAAACAGGGTTATTGCTTCTAGGGAGATTGTGGGAAAGGTTGCCTTGCTCTTCAAAAGAGAGTGCTGGAGGAAAAAGATCTTTTCATTTTGTTAGATGTCACCACATCTGGGTATATCTGGAATGGCAGCAGCCATCTTGCTGCCAGCCTAGAAATAGATTCAGGGATTTCAAGTAAAGCAGCGCTGGGAGCTAGGGGTGCCATGCCTGGGGCTTGCCCTGCCGTGTGAGAGAAAGCCCCTTGTCACATAACTCAGATTAAGTTGGGTTTTCTGGTATTTGCAGCTCTAAGGGTTCTAACTGATGCGTGTCAGAGGTGTCAGGGCCGAGTGGGCAGTTGGATACCTGCACTGGACGCTCAGTGGAGAGGCCTGAGCTGGAGAAATATGAGTCCCTAGTGTAGCCTGGGGAAGGGGCGAGATTGCCAAGAACAGAGTGGAGAGTGGGATGAGAAAAAGAGTTTGGGAGAGGATGATGAGCCTGCAAACCAGAGAGGTGTCGAGGGGGACCACCTGTGGCCAGCAAAAAGTATTCCCTGCTTGCCTCTGTACACTGCTTGCAGCTTACATCCCTACAGGTACTCAAACTGGACTAAAGGAAGTGGTTTAGGAGTGCTTCCGGCTGGGGGAGGGAGTTGGATTTCAGAACGTACCCTTGGGATTAACATCTGGAGAGCTTGGCTGCCTGCCATTTAACAAGAAGGCCATTTTACCAGCATTTCAAAGGCAACCAAAGATTGAACAAACAAGCTGGTCAGAGAATATTTCTCCTCCTCTGAGTGTAAACTGCTGAGTTAGACAGAGGTTGGATGGGAATCTCAAGAGAAGGCACCATCGTAAGAGAAGGCTTGGAGGCGTGAAAGCCGGGGCAGCAGCCTCAGAATTAGTCTGGGGGCTGGCATGGGAGATAACATGGGAATGCGAGAGAGAGGCCGGCATTGGGTGGGCCTTGGAGGTGGGGCTGAGTTCAGCCTTGACTCAGTCTGCAATGGCTCTTTAGTCGGTGGAAAGCTTTCGAGTGGTGTTGAGTTGGTAACGGTGTTCCAGATCCAAGTCCAGGCTAATGAGGTAAAAATACATAAAAATGAAGAATCCAAGGACCAGAAGCTACAGTGTCATGGCAGAGGTTCTCAAAGTTCAAACTATGCACCAGAATTAGTGACAAATGTAAATTCCTGTCACTTGTCCTCCCAACCCCATCCCAAATTTTGGATCCGATATGTTTATCAACCAATGGTCATCGGTGCCAACTCAGTGCCAACAGGAATCCACAATTTGGGATGTGGTGGTGAAGGAAACACCTCAATTGTATACAGCAGGGCTTTGAAGAGCAAGGTGGCGCTGGGAAGAGGTGGTGAAACGCAGCCTTCTTTCAGTCTTTGGTAGAAAGGCAGACACAGAGGGGCTGACGTATGTACCATATTTTGCCGGGTATAATGATTACATACCACGGCTATAATGGGTAAAATAGTCCCGTGTATGACGCACACAGAAAAACGTCGGTGCACAGTATACAGCAAAATATGGTAAGTAGGAATCCCGCCCCTGGTCCCTGATTGGTCTGTCTTCATGCAAATGAGGACTCCAAATCCTTACAGTTTGATTGGTCCAAAAAGTACTGTCCTGATTGGTCAGAATGGATTAAGTTTGGCTGGTGGGTGAAATAGGTCCAGAACCTCCTTTCTAAGAGCTAACTCAGATGGCAGGAACACAGAGCAGGCAGGCAGTTCATTGCAGGCTTCCCCTCGAAGTGCGGTTTGGGTTGACAGGTCCCTGTGTAGAAATGGCTGCCAAGCTCTGCTTTTAAATGAGTCCAGTTGGCCGCCAGGAGCCCTTGTTAGTAGGTGTCGTCTTTCCCAGGGTCCACACATACATTTTTCAAAGCTCCTCTGGCAGGGCTACCGTCGCGGGATGACGTGGGTGTTAGGTTCCCATGATCGGTATCCAATCTCCTCTACTCTTTGACGTAGAGAACTGGTGTTCCTCAATGTTACAGAAACGGCCTTCCAGGTTCTCCCAACTTGACAGACCCTCTCGTTCTCGGTCCACGCGGGTTCAGTGGCATGGCGGCGCTGCCAGCAGCAGTCAAGTAACTGGTGAACCGGGATGGTCACTCGCACCAGCGACCCACCGCCCCGGGAGTGTCTTTCGGAGACTCGGGACCAAGCCAGGCCCCGCCCTGGCGCAGACTTGGAAAACCCGCAGTCACTGCCTTTCCGAAAGGCTGCAGCGGCGGCACACAAACACGTGGGTGGGTCTCTGTGGTGACTGGCTGACGCTGTGACCAATTATGTACAGGCGCTTGTCCGCCTCGCGGGCCTATACTTCCAGGATTTGACAATTCTCGAGGGCGCTGTTGCGTAAGGGGCGGGCCAAGTGTGCCCCACCCTAGCGGAGGAGATTTCATTGGCAGGACGAAGGGCGATATACTCAACGCCCCCGGAAAAACGTCCTTGACAGACAGGTTCGAGAGCCACTTGCTGCCAGGAGGCTGGGCGGAAGCGTCGGAAACCAGGGGTGTCAGGCAGGGGGCGGATCTTCACTCGAAGAGTAGGGCGGGGCGAAGAGGGGAGCAGACAGGGGCCGGGCTGGCGCTGCGGCCGGAGATGCTGTGGGTCCGCGAGGGCGCTCAGCAGGCCGGAGCACTGCATTGAAGGCACTGAGGTGAGGTGCAGTGCCAGACCGGCGGGTACGTATGTGAGGGTCGTGCAGTCCTTAAACCTGGCCGCCAGCGTCCTCGGGCCGGCATTTTTCTGCCCTGCTGGGCGCTTTTGCCTCCATAGCGATGGCAGCCGCGCTGGTACTTGGGGGCGGGGCTGGGCACCTGTCCGCGTTTGCAGGCACCTGCTGCGTCTGCAGCCGAGGTGGGGCTCCGGCCGGCGCTGGGGTCTGCCCTTCTGGCAGCTGGGCCGGGCTCGCCCGAGGAGGAAGGGGGCTTGCCCCATTCAGATCCCGCCTTCCCTGGCTCTATCCCCACGTCCGGCTGTCCTGCACCCTAGGGTGTGTGGGTGGGCCGAGTCTTGGAGACCCTCAGCCCCCCACTAGAGGGGCTCGTGGACCCGGGCCGTCTCGAGGTAGCCGTAAAGCTGGGACACGGCCCCTGCCTTACTTCACGTCGAGACAGGTTTGTCCAGATTCTCTGGGTGCGCGTCAATGGGTTTCCGCCCCGTTTCTGGGTGCCCGTCTGGCTGTTCCCAGCGGGCCGGGCCGAACACAGGCCGTTCCTGTCTTTTCTCTGGGCACTGTTCCGTCTTCTCTTATCGTGGCATTTAAGGATGTTTGGGGTGATGTATTAAGGTAGTGCTTATGTAGGGACTGTGGCGCGTAGGAGGAAAGCGGCGCCGTCTCTTGAGTGTTGGCTCGCGCTATGTACGGGTCACTCATGCGGGTCCAAGATCCTGAGTTCTTGTTTATATGGCCTAATTGGAAATTTTTAAATTGTCTCCTAATGACTAGTACGTGTCTTAGGTCTTGCGTCTATCTATGTCGCTCCTGTTGGAGGGTGCTACACTGCACCTGGGTAGATGAGACAGCTTAATAAATGGTGTAGTAATTCCCAGGCGATGATGTTGCTGCAGTAAATAGTATACCTCCTGCTGAAACATAGGAGGAACTGGGGGCAGCTTTTATTTCTTAAAGGCAAAGTCACAAAATCATTACGTTTTAGACTTGGAGGGGACCTTAGAGGTGACTGATCCACCCCAGCAAATTTACATGGTGGTGATCACTGTGTCCCAAGGGGACAGAGGTCCCCTGTTACATCAGGCCTGCCCTAGATGACAGTGGGGGGCTGCGCACTGCCTGGCTCTGGAAACCAGTGCTATGTTCATTTGAGCCAAACATGACACATTTTTGGTGTCCCAAGCATCTTCATTTGTATCATAATTCTCTTTGAAGACAGATTGGCAGAGAACTTTTAGTACTAAGTTGCTCTTTACTGGATATAAGTCAACAGGTCCATGGAAGAACCAAGATCTTCACTCCTTTGATTTATTTAATTACTGGGTGGCATCATGTCAGCCATAATTGGCACTGGCAGGGTATGGGAGATCTGGTACCCTCTGTGGGTGTCATGGGCTTGCCAGAAAACACGTATCTGCTGATGAGGGACACATTTGGTACATGATCTTTTAATGATTTGCTTCTTGTGAATTTATTAAAATGTTGCTAAATTTGACCCTTTTCACCTTCAGCCTTCTGAGTGGTGCAACACAGGAATTCAGAGACGGAGCTCTGCTTTTCATGGGGGGAAATGGCCAGAGCAGAGAAGTTGCCGTTCTTACAGATGGGCTTGCTGTTCTCCTTTTGCTTCTCTTCCTCTGTATTTTTAGTAAATGGCCCACTGACTTTGTGACATTAGAGACATGCTTTCTTATCCACTGCTTAAAGCTTTAGTGGAAGATTTGTGTTTGTGAAATCTTTTACACTCCTCTGTTGCATTTGTATGTATTGGTCAGCAAATCCTTGAATGGCCAATCCTAAAGTTTCCACACTTCAAGCAGCTTAATAAAGGTCATTCTGGGGGGATGGTCCCAACAGGACCCTGTTAGCCCTCTGTCTTCCATGCCCCCCCTTCCCTCAAATTTTTTCTTATTCCTGCCAGAGAGTCATTTTGTATTTAAGTAATTTAATACACACTTAAAAATGGATCTCTACTTCCCTGTAACCCTGAAAACAGTAGTAGATTTTTGTGTGCTGTGTGGGCACAGTGCATTCTGAACCTGGTGTTCCCAATAGTCAAGTGCCTCCATGTTATGCTAATAGCAACTGCTACAGTCCATGTCTTCTGCGTTTCTGGCACCAGAGCTGAGTTGTGTCACTGAATATTATGAACCCTGGCCAAGCACTGGGCATCTACATTCCTGCAGACATTTAAAGGTGGGAAATAATTTGGAGTCAAAAGACGGAGAGGGTATTGAAGGAAACAATTCATGAAAACACTTTCCCCCCTAGGTTTTTATAACTATGTATTATATAATGTTATATCGTATCTCTATTGAGCATGTCAGATTTAGTTCTTAATTATTTCAGTAGTCTTAACTTTTGGTGATGGTGTTTGTTTTCCCATCTCATTTTCAGGTAAAGTGAACCTGGGGGACAGAAGAGTTTGATGACGCAGACCACTGAATTTTTTCGTGTGTGCACGTTATGAACCCTTTCTGGAGCATGTCTGCAAGCTCTGGACGCAAAGTAGGTATAGCTGATAAATTCAGTGAGAAACAGGTTGCATCAGAACAGAGGCCAAAATAATTCATGCTGAGGTCGCCCTCTCATCTTAACAAGGTTATCTTGTTTCTCTAGTTCAGGTTTTACTTTTGGGAAATAATTATTTTGTTGATTAAAGTTAGTTTCTGAGACCGAGATCACACCTCAAATAGAATCATTCTGGCTATCATGATTCTAAGATTATTTTGACAGGTGATATTTACATATGAAATTCGTCACATGCTACTGTAGTAGTTTTTTACTAAACTGCAAGATTCTATGGTTAGAAAAGCCTTGGGAAAGGCTAGTCCAATGTGGTCAAGTCAGACTTGAGGACACTGGTTTAATTTTTCTAAATAAAATGTTTAATTGCAAAAACAATACATTTTAGGGAGGCCGGATATGTGTAGACAAAAAGAAAATAAATATAACCCGTAATTCCACCTCTGTGAGAGCACCGCTGTTAATCATCTTTTTTTATGCACGTGACATACTTTTTTAATATAGCTAATTAAACAGCCTTTGCTGTACTGGAGCCAAGAATGTACCTATGAGATGGGAGAGTTTAGTTTCTGACTCATTTAGATCTTTATCTCTACTTTGATGACAGCTCGTGCTGGGGAGAATCTGAATGTAGAAACATATCCATTAGGAACAAAATCAAAGACCCATTGCTAGTGAGATACTAGCTTCCTTTGTTTCTAACCCAAGTGCTGTTAGGTAGTGACTAATTTCAGTCATCTCTATTGATTTAAAAAAAAAAATTTTTTTTAAAGATTTTTATTTATTTATTTTTAGAGAGAAGGGACGGGAGGGAGAAAGAGAGGGAGAGAAACATCAATGTGCAAAAGAAACAGCAATCAGTTGCCTCTCGCACACCCCCAACCGGAGACCTAATGCGCACAACCCTGGCATGTCCTCTGACTGGGAACGGAAACTGCAGTCTTTTGCTTTGCAGGACACTGCGCAACCCGCTGGGCCACCCCAGTCAGGACCATCTCTATTGATTTTGAGCTGTGTTGCACCTGACCACCTACGGCACCTTACTGCCCAGGGGTTTTTCTAGCCTGTCCGGTTGTCTGATAGTTTAGTAACCCCTTGCCCTCTTTTGGGGGCCACCAGGATAAATGATTTCTTTATTTCACTTAAACCTTGTAAATATTGGCTTTTTCGTCTCTATAGGATGCATCTAACAAGAGTTTTCTAAAGCTTTAGTCTTGCTTCGGGTTCATTCTGCTCATTACAATGGCCCTCCTGCTGAAAGGCTTTTCAAGTCATCTTGATCATGATGCTAGAATATCCTTGTAACAGAGTAATACCAGCTTTTAGGTCAAGGACTAAGATCACATGTACTGCTGCAATTTAAGAATCATCCTAACAAATGTTCTCACCACTTCCTCTTAAATAGCGATCTGATGGTGAAGAGAAGACACTACCAGGGGATGGGAAAACCAGCCCTCCACGCACGGCTCCAAAGAAACAGCTGCCTTCTATTCCTAAAAATGCTTTGCCTATAACTAAGCCTACGTCCCCGGCCCCAGCAGCCCAGTCAACAAATGGCACACATGCTTCTTACGGACCCTTCTACCTGGAGTACTCTCTCCTTGCCGAGTTGTAAGTTCCTAACAGACTATTCGGTTACATTCTGAATGACTACTGAAGGTAAAGAATGAAATTTATTTTGATGGACTGGACTCAGGAAATAGCCATTTAATCGTAAAGCTCAAACTCATACCCGTCCAATATCAGCCTTAATGTTTATAAGAAAGATGGAGGCTATCACTAGCAACACAGTCTGTCTTAACTGAGGTCTCAGTAGTGTTTATAATATTGTCTTGTAAATGCAGTGATTCTTAAAGCTTGGGAAAATAATATTTAAAGGCAAATGTGCGCTTAACTTCCATGTTTGTTTGGATGGCAAGAGGAGGGAGAGTAAGATTAAGCACTGGCAGTAGCAGGTCAAGACCTTACTTTCGGTCTTTGTTCCTATGAAGTGAAGAATCCACCCCCTGAAAAGGTGGTCGTAAAGGATGGGACAGTGGGAGGGTGGCCATCTATTCTCTCTTGGGTCAGACCCAGCTGGAGAGTTGCGCTCCACTCTGGGGACCATCTTTTAAGAGGCAACCTGACAGACTGAGGCGGTGGTCCCAGTAGACGGAGGTCAGAAAACCAGACCCTGGGTGTCAGTCTTTGAGGGAAAGAGAACTGGGGAGACTTCATGCACTTGAGGGACTGTCATTAGAAAGGGGACCTGCCTTAGTCTGTAGGACCCCCCAAGGCTGAATTAGGCGATTATAGGGATGCCATACAGACGTGGGCTCCGTGCAGGGGAAGCTGACTGGGCACAGAAGCCACACGTGGACCGCAGCTGCACGTGTCTGCGGGGGGCGAGGAGAGGGCGCTGCAGAAAGCCGGTAGTGGCACAGCGCCCGGCCCGCCCAGGGCTCCGCGTGACTGAGTGCCGACGGCCTTTGAGTTAACCAGTCTGTTACAAGGGCAGGAAGTTTGGCATATTCTTAACTTCAATTATTTTAAAATTCCTTTGTACACAGCACTTGATACTAAGCGAGCAATCTACATCCTAGCCTTGTGTCAAAGGCTCGTGATGTGCTGTGACCATAGGGTTTAAGGGGTGGAATACTAAAACCAAAGCCACGAGTCCTTTAAGCCCGGGAGTAAAGACACACTCTTGAGTTATAACGCAGTGGCATAACTGGGGAAAAAAATTCCTTTGTATCTGCAGTTGTTGTAAAGGCAGGCGTGAGCCCGCTGCCCCTGCACTAATGCTGTGCTGGCCAGAGGCCCCGAGGCCCCGGCCCGCAGGGCTGAGTGCACTGGGGAGCAGTGGTCCCTTTATAGGTGCATCTGCCGGCCATGCTGCTGCTGACACTGAATTTTAGTGACTTAAAAATGGAATAACTGCTTTAAAATGATATAAATGTGATGGCAAACAGGTAACAGAAACTTTCAGCGAAGGTCCCATAAGCTACTTCTCAAAGTTCAGGATTGGCAGGTTAGTGTGTTTCAAGGGCCTCGCTTAACATCGTTCTTTCCAAGATCTTGTCACGGCCCGCCTGCCTGAGACTCGGAGCTCAGTGGCGAGGAGCAACGCAGCATGGCCGTGGGTGACCAGGTCCCCGAAGAGCCACTGCAGCCTTCGTGTGTTGCGCCTTCTTCCCTATCTCAGCACCCACCACTGCCCACCCCTGGCCCAGAGTGCAGGTGCCTGCGCCGTGGGGTACACGCGGAGGAGCAGATCCTGTGCCAGTGCCTCGCCCTGTGCACCAACACTGCACATACAACTAAACGTGGCCTTTTGTTGCACGGACTGGTCATCTCACTTAAGATGACACCTAAGTGAGGGCAGTTCCATGGAATTTTATTCTCAGTTACCTAAAGTTGTGTTTAAAATGGCTTTTGAATGTGTGTGGGTGAGTGCTATTCTCTACAATCACAAAAGCAGTAACTTTACCAATTCTCTCGTTTGCCTCAAACTTACTGTCCACCACATAAATCGTGCTGCATTGTCAGAATCGCCTCCAGGCTGTTTTATTCCTGTTTGGCTTGAATTTCTTCATCTGGGGCCCTTTGGGGTGAAGCCAGTGAAGGGGCAGCTTGCAGAATTAGGGCATCAGCTGCCCCTGTGGGGACTGTCCTGCCTCTCAGAAGATGAGTGGGGGGCGGCCCGAGCTGTCCGTGTCACTCACAGCCACACCGTCTCACTGTTCTGCTGCTTCTGTTGCAGTACCTTGGTTGTGAAGCAGAGGCTACCAGGCGTCTATGTGCAGCCATCTTACCGCTCTGCATTAAGTAAGGATTTGCTCCTTTTATAACAGTTACAGCCTGTTGGCTGCCTCTGACACAGACATGGACCTTAACTGTTCTACTTTTTCCTACAGTGTGGTTTGGAGTAATATTCATACGGCACGGACTTTACCAAGATGGTGTATTTAAATTCACAGTTTACATCCCTGATAACTACCCCGATGGTGACTGTCCCGTAAGTAGGAGCCACAGCCTGGCTTCATGTGCTGGCCAGTGAGGGGGCCTAGAGGGCTTCACAGCTTCCCTGTGCTCTTCCTGACCGGCCACTGTCATGGTTCGTTCCCTAAAGTGCCTGTCTACTGCGGAGCCTCTCGGGGGATCTCTGGGCCTTGTTGGGTCATTTGCCCTGTCGGCCTCCGCCCGGAGCCCTGCGTGCCCCTCTGCACGGGGTGCGGAGGCTACACCGCAGCACAGGGCGTGCAGGGTGGCGGCTGTGCTGGAGTAGAGACTCCCCCTTTACTGCGAAACTTAATGTCCAGGAGAGCCGTGACATAGCTAGGTCTCGCTCTTGAGGCAGCTCCCTGACAACGTGGCCGTCTTGTCCTGACACACTTTTCACCGCTGTCTACGGGGGCCCGTTAACTCCACTGCCTCCATTAAGAGGTGTGTGTCTCTCTCCCCACACAGCGCTTGGTGTTTGACATTCCCATCTTTCACCCGCTAGTTGACCCCACCTCAGGCGAACTGGATGTGAAGAGAGCATTTGCAAAATGGAGGTTAGTAATAAGGCTTTCCTCCAGTGACAAAGTCAGTGAGAGGACGCCTCAGCAACGAGCCCCGTCTCCCTGCAGGCGGAACCACAACCACATCTGGCAGGTGCTGATGTACGCGAGGAGGGTGTTCTACAAGATCGACACAGCAAGCCCCCTCAACCCCGAGGCTGCCGTCCTGTACGCTCCTTTACTTTGATACTTAAGATGAACCTGAATATGCAGCGAAGTAGATAATGTTGGTAACTTTTTGATTTAAACTCTTAATGCAGGTATGAAAAAGATGTTCACCTGTTTAAAAGTAAAGTGGTTGACAGTGTCAAGGCAGGCACGGCCCAGCTGTTCGAGCAGCCTAAGATAGAAGACCCCTATGCCATTAAGTAAGTGGTCTGTTTTCTACATGCACCATGCCTTGCGGTCCTGTGTTTCCATGTTTTGGTCTTAGAATGGGCTTTAAAGGGAGAGCATGTAATCTGTTAGCCTACAACCCTTGTTGTAAGCAAGATTTCTGATGCCTCTTGGGGGCTCTCTTCTTGAACAAAAAGCCTTACATGGACTGGCCCACTGTGCCAATGGCGAGCTATTTAGGGACATCGGCTTCCTCAGGGTCCTGACACAGCGCTCTTTCGAGCACCAGGACCACCCTCCACAGGGGGCCATTTTAGCTGGGAGTCCCTCTGAAACGGCCACAGCGCCATCGACACTCTGACTTGGGGGACGGCGGGCGAGTGCCTAGTGGCAGGGGTGGGCTCCTGCAGCGCTGCGATACCTGATCTTGGGGACAAGTGTCGGGGGCAGTGCTGAGACCGGACGGGTGGTGACTGAGCGCTAGGGCTCTGCACACAGACTGGCTGGCTGCTGCCCGGGCTCTGGTGACCCAGAGCAGTCACTCAGTTTTACTCTGCCTCACTTTCTTCATTTTAAATAACAGAACCTCCGGGGTTGTTGCGAGCCTGACTGAGCTAACCCAAGGAGAACGCTCTGTAAAGGGCAGTTACGTGCAAGAACAGGCAATGTCTAAAACTTACATGTTGATAGCTAATTAAAGCCTACTCTTTAAATCCTCGTTAGGTTTGTTATGGCAGCTGTCCTAGGTACTAAGAAAAATGGATGCTACACAAATTTAATTGCAAACAGTTTTTAAATCTTCCTCTTCCTTAAGCTTTTCCCCATGGAACCCTGCTGTGCACGACGAAGCCAGAGAGAAGATGCTGACTCAGAAAGTAAGCACATAGCCTTTTTTCAAATAGTTAACTCACTGTTTGCTTTCCAAAGTGTCTTCACTGGGGAGTACTCATTCTATGCGAACAACTTTTTGGGAAATGCACGTGTACAAGGCTGACATCTCATCCGTCATTTTCTGATGTCTGTTTTGATTGTGCCTAGAAGCCCGAAGAACAGCACAATAAAAGTGTTCACGTTGCCGGCCTGTCGTGGGTAAAGCCTGGCTCAGTGCAGCCTTTCAGTAAGGAAGAGAAAACAGGAGCTACTTAAGAGCCGGAGAGCCCGGTGCACGGTGCACGTCCCTGTGGCCTCGGGCCCCGCTCAGGCCGACCAGCGGCCAGGACTGCTGCAGAGTAAACTGTGTGAACAGTGACCGACACCAGCGTGGTCCGTGTGTGCTTAGGTTCTAAAGGCAAGTTTTGGAAACCTCTCCAGTAACGCGTTACTTCTGTCAGAAGTGTCTTTAGGGTGGTGATCTAGTTCAGTACTCCAAATTCTTGGGGACCTTAAGGCTTAAATATTTTTCTGAATATAAAGTTAAAGGTAAGTGGCATTCATTTAAAATAGGGTAGAGAGAGTTTAGCACTATCTAATGATTTTAAAATCAGCAGTTTCAGTTGTACATATGTTAGGGTGTGGAGAGGAAGGGCCTAGGGAAAGCAGGCTGCGTAGCTTGTTAGCGCTGTTAGGTGGGAGACCATCGGAGCCTCAGTCTTCAGCCTGCTGTCGTACTGATTTACAAGCTGCTGCCACTGAGGCACACGTGGGGGCGTGGGAAGAAACCAGAACATTTGTTCATAGTTGTTTTTTTTCCAAAGCAAATTACTTACTGTATTTTTATGGCAGGAGGGATAAAAAGTGTTAAAACGGTTTCTAATGAAGTCAAATATTTAAGCAATGAATGACTAATGTGTTTCGTAGAGACAAAATAAACCAATAAATGATGGTTCTTTGTCATTTATGCAGGAAACTAAATACCCTTTTCTCAGTATAACTAAACAAAGATTAATTTATAAATGCTTTATTGAAAAATACACTTATTTTCATATAAAATTACAGTAGCAGTAAGTATCTGGAGAGGTTTTTATAAATATTTTTGCAGAACACTATTCTAACTGAACAGTGTAAGTTCCATATTTCTTTTAGAGCAAATATGAAGTTACCTAGTAACTCTGTTTATACTGATTCAATTTACAATTGAATTTTCTCCCTAATAAGGTTATTCATTCAACTTAAAAACTGCTGGAACAATACTGACTAATAAAGGTATATATAGAGAATTCAATAGCTGTTAAATAACCTTTTCTAATTTGTATGAATGGTACTATGTACTCATGAAAATCTAAACTGTCCAACCTAAACGTTTTTAAACTGCCAGGAACACACCCAAAGGTATTTTAACATGTATCACCTTTGTAGACACATGTCTTTTGGATAACTACCTCCTAAAGGAAAAGGCCATAATTTTTAATGTGAATTCCCTTAATTCAACTTGATTTAAAATCTTCACTTAGCCAGCTGATCCCTATTAATTGGGGGCAGGGCGGGGGGAACTGCAGGATTTAAAATACATGCCCCAAAGGTGGCTACTGGGGCTTTAACGATTTTAAAAAAGTACAAAAGCATCAAAGAAGATACTGAGTGTTTAGCCTAGAAGTTTTGTACTTAATAAAGTTCACATTGTAGAAAGTGCCATCACAATATACAGCAAAATCTGCATTACGGAGTCATGCTTTTTACAGCCCTAAAGTGCCACTTTGTATACAAGTTCACGCACACACTGCACACCAAACAGTCAAGCACTGTCACACTGCACCACACCTGACGGGGGCGGGGAGAGCACACAGAGGGAACGGGGAGACGTGGGCCAGGAGTCGGGGCTCCCTTGCTATGCTTCAAAAATGCAAAATTTTCACACTCCTACCAGGTGTTTTAGAACACTACCTAGTTTCTGTGTTGCTTTTCATGAGAGCCAGGCAGCCCACACCACGGGCAGGAATGACTGGAGCACAGTCCCGCTGCTGGGGAGGCCAGCAGAGGCCGCGCACACTATCTCGGCATGCTCTGTTCTCTACAGTACCTGGGAAAGCTTTGCCAAAGAGTTAAAAATCCCGGTTTGGATTCTAAGCAGCATTGATGGCAAGCACTGAGTGGTAGGAAAAAAGGCAGATGGAATGAGTAAAAATAAGGATATTGGAAAGATTAAGGAAAAGAGCCCCATAATCTAGCATGCATTAAATGATGCTGTTAAACAGTTTGTGAAAAAGAGTTTCAATACAGCAGACTAACCTCAGTGGGAACCTCGGTCATTAGCTACATCTTGGAGACGGCGTATTAAGGCTGAATGATTTTCAGGGCAAATTCTTTTGGCCGGTGATTCACTTCCATCTTCCAAAACAATTCCTCTCTTTTTGGTTGGAGTTTCTCCTGTCCGTATCATACTGTTGATTTCTCTTAGTCTCTACAGTGAGAGAAAATAGATATAAAAACTTTAAAATGCTAGCACATGGAATTCAGTGTTAAGGCGAAGTACCTCAAATGAGTTAAGTGGTTTACCTTAAAGAGTCTGAACATCTTAAATAACTAAGTTATACAGCCTTCCACTTTCATTTCTCAGCTGGCTGAGACTGATCACTAACTGGGGCTGAAGGAAATTACTTCTGTGTAATGAGCTCCAGGAGTTATTTCGTGTATACTTTTCTGAAATGTGAGAGTTGACAAATTTGCGATTTCTTTTTACAAGTTATAGATCATGACATCTCTATTCCACATTTGATTCCATATTTTCCCATTTTTCTTTTTCTTTTTTAAAAGTATGACTTTACGTAGTATTATGCCTTTTTTTTTTTTTTTTAAGTCTAGCAGCCATTCTCAACTGGAATTTGACAAGAGAAGTAAGCCGTAATTCCCTATAGCATTCTTCATAAGCGATTTATTAGTGTGATCGAGAATGTAATAGTCATGTATTATTCTTGGGAGAATTAAGGAAACACTGCCAGATTGCTGGAGACTGGATCCGTTTTCAGTGCTTTAACATTGTTTCTCCAAAGCCCCAAAAGTCAGTTTATCACATTATTTTATGGTCATTTTTTTGGTAAAAAAATTTTTTTCATGCGCTGCTTCACTGTCCACATTTCAGGGAAAGCACACTGAACACATTCACGTGTACTTGTCACAGGAAACTGTCTCTGATCTTCCCCCATCAGTATATTTGGTTAGAAGAGCACATCTCTGCCTGCCACATAGTATTCTACCGTGTGTCTCACTCCCAGTCCCAGCACTGTCTGTTGAAAAGACTGTCCTTTCTCCACTGAATTGCTTTTGCACCTTTCTTGAAAACCAGTTGGCCACATACAGGGTGGAGCAAAAGGAGGTTGCGTTTCTAGAAAATACAATGATAAATAATACAAGAATAAACTGTTTCCATACTCATAACTGTCAGCCTCCTTTTGCCCCACCCTGTATGTGTGGTCCACTTCCAGGTCTAGCCTGTCCTGCCGACCTGGAAGTCTACCTTCACCAGCACCACAGTCTTGATTCTGTAGCTTTATAGTAAGTCTGGAAATCAGACTTACTATAAAGTCTGTGAGTGCCTCAGGTTTTTCCCAAATTGTCTTAATTATTCCAGTCCCTTTGCATTTCTCTATGTTTTGGAATCAGTTTGTTAATTTATACAAATAATTCTGGAATTTTGACAAGAATTGTTTAATTTATAGGTCATGTGGGAGAAAAATGGAGATCCTGATACTGTTTTTCAATTCTTGAATATATGTTCCATTTTCTCAGTCTTTAATTTCTTTCACCAAGGTTCTGTAGTTTTCAGGATACAAGTCTTGCACATCTTTCATCAGACTTTACCTGTATTCAACTTTTTAATGCTATTTATAGTGTTTTAAAAAATCCTTCTAATTACTCATTTCTAGTATATAGAAATACACTTGGTTTTTGCATATTAATCACATAGGCTTTGAAATCTTAACTAGTTCCAGTAACTTTTTGTAGATTTTGTGGTTTTTCAATGCAGGAAATTGTGAACAGAGATGGTTTTCTTCCTCCTCCATCCGTACGTCTTCCCTCTCTTGCCCTGTGGTATTACGTATGCCGGGACCTTCGGTGACAGTGTTGAACAGGAGGGGTGAGGGCAGACAGCCTTGCCTTCTTCCTGATCTTAGAGGGAAGACATTGTCTTTCCCCATTACATGTGTTAGCTATAGGTTTTTTAAATACACATTTTTATCAGGTTGAGGAAGTCTCCTGGGAGTTTTATCATGAGTGAATATTGGATTGTTTAGTAGATAATAGGATTATTAAGATTATGTCTTTTTGAGTGTTTTGGAAGTTTGTCTTTCAAGGAATTGGTCTATTTCATCTTACGTTCATCTATTTCATTTTGATAACTGAATGCTCAACAGTGACAAACAAGGAAACCTAAAAAAAACCATACAAACGTGTTCCATCACATTCAATGGAACAAAGTTGGTTTTCATCCTTCATTATACTTTTATTGTCTATAGGTCCTGTACTGACATCTCTCATTTCTGATATTGGTAACATGTCTTTTCTTTCCTACTTAGTCAATACAGAGACACATCAAATTTTATCTTCTAAAACAAAACAAAAAAGCCCTTAACATGTAACGGCCTTAATTTTCTCTGCTTTAAGGTGTTTATTTCATTGACTACTGCTCTTTTTCTAGTTGCTAGGGTCACTAATTTGAGACCTAAATTGAGACCTTTCCAATATAGGTAACTTAGTGCTATAAATTTCCCTCTTCACACTTGTGGCATTCCACACATTTGGTATGTTAGGTTTTCATTTAGTTCAAAATACTTTCCAATTTATTTTTTTCCTTGACTCATAGAATTATGCAATTTAGTTTCCAAAAAGTTGGGTGTTTTCCAGATACCTTTGTTAATAATTTCTAATTTAATTCCACTGCGGTCAGAAAATACATTATTTGAATCCTTTACAATTACTGAGGCTTGTTTTATGGTCCAGAATGCAGTCCATCTTGGTAAATGTGCCATGTGCACTTGGTGCTGTTGGAATGTTCTATAAATGTCAGTGAGTCCATTTGGTTGATAATGTTCCCATTTGGAATGTCGTTACACTGATTTTCTCTCTTACTTGTTCTATCAATTATATTAAACTCTTGACTATAAATGCTTTTTTCCCCCTATTTAGGATTGTATATCCTCTCTATCATTAGGAAATGACCTTCTTATTGATAGTATTTGCTCTTCAGATACTAATATTAATGGCATTAATGTAGCATTCTAAGATTTCTTTTGATTAGTTAGAGTATAACTTTTTCTATCCTTTAAAAAAAGACAACAGCTTTACCTGGGTAATTCTCACACCACGTAAGTCAAGCCATTCAGAGTGTACAAATCATGGCTTTTAGTGCGTTCCCAGGGTAATACAATCGTCCATGACATTCACCACGCTTCTGTCACCCCAGAAGGAAACCGTACCCATCGGCAGACACCCTACCTGCCCCTCAGCAGCAGGTAATCACTACTTTCTGCTTCTGTAAGTTTGCCCATTCTGGACATTTTGTATAAATGGAATCCTACAATATTTATCATTTTGTGACTGGCTTCTTTCATTAGCATGTTTTCGAGGCTCACTCATTTTGTAGTACCTTTTTATTGTAGTAATATTCCATCGTGTGAATATACATCTTACTTATGCATTTAATGGGGCATCTGGGTTAATAACCCTTTAAACTATATATCTCTGTACTACTTTGATTTTTCACCCAGTGTTAACAATTTCTACCTTGTAATTGGTATATTTAGACCACTTACATTTAATTGCTATTTGTTTGCTTTTTCCCCATGTTCTCTCTTTTGGCCTTCTTTTGAAATGAGTATGTCTGACACATTCTTTTTTTTTCATTTATTTGGTTATAAGATGAAAATATATTAGAGGAAGTGTCAGTCATTTCATCTAACTCCAATTGCTTCGTGGGACTATAGCCATTTTGTCCCCAGATTTCACAACACACCGTGAATATTATCAGCATTAGAGTAAACCTATGCAATAGCTTGAAGAAATTCCATTTTTTAATATTTTGTCTTCCTATTCAGAAATATTAATTAGTATATCTTCATTTATTCCAGTCTTTTAAAATCTGGTTCAAGTTAAATTATTTTTCTACAAAAATTTATTACAAGGCATATGATACTTTGCTATTATAGGAAAAGTTTTTCCATTATATTTTCTAACAGATTTTTTGCTTTCCCAACTTTTTAAATGATTTCAAGCTTACAGAGAAGTTGGACAAGTAGTATACCGACTGTCCATTTACTGATCATCAACATTTACCTCATCTGCTCTCTCCCTATAACCTTTTAGCTGACCCATTTGAAAGAAAGTTACTGACACTGCAACAATTCACCTCTGAATACTTTAAGTATATTCTCCTACATAACCCAGTAGCATCATCAATACCAAAGAAATTTAACAGAAATTTAAAAAATACTAACACTGAAGTCCATGTTAAATTTTCCCACTTCTCCCAAAAATGTACTTTATAGCTGAGTTTTTCTATGGAGCATCCACTGCATCTGGCTGACCTGTGTCTTCATAGTTTCCTTCTCTCTCTAGCGGTACCCTCCCATCAGCTGCACGTCATGATGATAACATCTTTTCCTGCCCCTGCCCGGGAGGCTCCATCAATTGCAGCATCCTCACATACACCAAACGGTTGTGGGTTCAGTTCCCAGTCAGGGCACATACCTGGGTTGCAGGTGTGAGCCCCTAGTCTGGGTGCATATGGGAGGCAACCAATTGATGTTTGTCTCACATCTCTCTCTCATCAGTAAGAAAATACGCCCCGGTGGGAAAAAAAAGTCCAGGCCATTGTGTTTCTTTCTAAGCAATTTATAAATGCAAACATCACAGCAGGGCCTTTAAGATCCAGTTGCGTTCCTTATTCAGGTATTCTTCCTGAAACCTTTCCTTCCACGTCTCAGCAACTGTTCATCCATGAAGACCTGACTCAAGGTTCCCTCCCTGTCACAGACTGAGGCCCCCACAGCTAGGCTAATATGGCTCATAGTGCACTGGACACAATGTCCAGTTCTCGCCTTAAGCAAAGACGACAGAGACACTGCCTGTCACAGAAACAGATTCTCAGTGATTAGTTTAGAGATCCAAATTTCCTTTCCCTAACAAAAATTTTACAAATGGAATAAACACAAAATCCCAGATTTACAGTAGAATTTAGAAATGCACAAAAAGGAAAAGAAATCCAAATCTCTTAATGGATTTCCAACTCAAAACTTCTCCCTCAAAACCCCTGATATTTGCTCCACAGGGACTTAACTGGTCACTGTTCTCTTTTTTCAAGATTTATTTTTAGAGAAAGAGACGAAGAGAAACATCGATCCATTGCCTCTCACAAACCCCCGCAACCCGGGATCTGACCCAAAACCCAGGCCTGTGCCCTGACTGGGAATCGAACCAGAGACCTTTCAGTTCACAGGCCTGTGCTCGATCCACTGAGCCCCATCAGCCAGGGCCTAACTGCTCACTTTTCCCTGACAGTTCTTATCAATCCTGTTTCTAGAATCCTAAGCATTTTGGAGTTCGTAAAAGCCAAGAGATATGTTAGGCTCACCTTTGAAGGACTATTGCTGAAGTAGTAGTAAATCTTTTCTCGAGGAGAAGGCATTGCTTCATTTTTATGCGGGGAAATGTAGACAGCATGATTTTGAGACAACTGTATTCGGCGAGGTGAGCCTGTTCTCACAAATGGATAGGGAGAGAGTGGAGGAGCATCCGCCTGTTTAAAAAAAAAAAAATCAGTATTTCTAAGAAAGTTAGACAAAATTTCTAACCTGGTTTTTTTTGAAAGTGGTTATTTTTATTATAAGAGTTGAGATACAATAAACCATTAGCTTTCTGAATGCTCAACAGTGACAAACAAGGAAACCTAAAGAAAACCACACAAACAGCAAACATGTAAGTGCTTACTTGGTGCCAGTCAGTGTCTTAAGCGTTTTTAGCACATTGTCATTTAATCCTCAAACCACTCCATAAGCTGGGGACTGCTCTCATTCCCTTTTTATGTGGGAGGAAACAAAAGGCACGGAGCAACGTAACTTGCAAGGTCCCCATGGCCGCTGAGTTTCAGACAACTGGAACCCGTGCCTTCTCTCTCATACTGCTCTACACTACAGGGACTCCAAATACCATCTTACGCTTGTTTAATGCTACACAATATAACTTGTATTAGTCAAATTATTTGTGTTAGACTTCCACCCGTTTTAATTAAATGGGAATTGTTTGTAAAACTAGTTTACAAATGGAGCAGTTCAAAGAGAAGTGATTCCTCATCCCTTTCAGGTGGAAAAAAAAAGTAATGAAATGATTCCCATCCAACTTACACTGTTTGCCTGTGAGTACTTCATGGCAAATGACTGGATTTGTTTTATGTAGATGTTGTTGTAGAACTGAATGAGGTCGCCCCTCTCCTCCTCCTCCACGTCACTGTTGGCGCCCGTGAGACGAGTAGGTGTTGGCGGGGCGCTGCTGGGCTGTGGGACAGGCAAGGTGCTGCTGGACCTCATGACGGGGCTGGAGTCTCTGCTGGCTGCAGCGGGTGGAACAAACGGTGTTAAACAGGAAGCTGCTGATGCAGACTGTTTTTAAACAAAAATCAGTAGGATAAAGGGAAACAGCTACCTGCTGCACTTGTGGAATGGCAACAAATGGGCCCTTCATTCTCCATACAAGGGAGCAAAGCACAGGCACTCCGTTAAGTACTAATGCTACCCCCAGGCCGTAAGCGTGGGCCAGCACGCCAAGCAGGGCTCACCAGTAGGTCACACCACGCTCTCTAGGACCTGAGTCCTGCATTCAGTGGGCACAGAAACATTTAGGGACGGTCTTTCCATAGCAGGGTTTCAGTTGACATGCCAGACTTTTCTGAAACTCAGGCCAACAAATTCCTGCCTGAAACCTCTAATTCCCCTGGGGAAAAATGTTTTTACACAGGGTGCCTCAAACCTATGGGATAAAGGACAAACAACTTTGCTGCTAAGTTTAGAATTCTATTTATTTTCCAACACATCCTTTGTCAATAAGTTTCCTTAGTAATTTCATTTAGTAATCCTCAGTATTCTAGGCCTAAAAAGTAAGAGAAGCTCCTAATTTGATTATGTACATCTTCATAAAGATCGCACTTACTCCTGTCCTTTAGTTCTGTCGGAGAATTCTGATGGCTTCTGCTATCACTGCTGCCAGAATTCCTCCTTCTCCTCTTCCCTCTTATCAAAACACTTCTATACACCTTTAGAGAGACCATGACAAGGAGATAAAAATTAGTATTTATTAAACATCTCCTAGAATATATGATCTTGACATATTTGATTCTCACAACCACCCCATGTATAATAGTTACCCTCCTCAGGGGAGGTTAATAAAGGCAGCCGAGGTCATGAATCAAATAACAGATCCAGGGTTTATACCAGAGTCTGTCCGGCTTGACATTCCAAGTACTGCTATCATACGAAAAAGCAGTAACAGTACCCAATGATAAAATCAAGTCATTCTAAGCCAAATACAAAGATCTCACATACCTACCTCTTTAAAAGTATTAAAAGTAAAAATGAGTTTTAAAATTAATCTGATTAAATGTACTATGTTTCCTAAGCCAGACAGGTGACAAACCAAACAAGTTCCTAATTTAATTAGAAGTCAATTACTTCATATCATTAGTTTAAAGTCCTCTTTTCTCCTAAAGGTAAAGACCTCCTTTAAAGTTAAGTCTGAGTTGCTTAGTCTGGAGACAAGGCTATGGAATCAACTCTGGTTAACTTTTTGTGTTCATCGAAGTCTTTAAGCTTTATTTTCAGCCCTGAGACGAAAGGTACTTACCTGGCTCCGGGCCTGTGGCTGAGTCCTGTAGGAACGCATAATATTCTGGAAGGACTTGTCTTCTTTTGTGACCTGGAAAAAAGAATAAGTAGTTTGTGAGAGAAACTGACTTTCAGCAAAATATTGTATGGAGTACAATAAACTTACCCAACACTGAAATTGGTGTAAATTATAGTTAAAAACCAGTCCCTTAAAGTTTGGAAATGGTCCTAAGGGCACACAACAATTGAAGGAATTCTACTGAAATTTAATGTTCAGCAACATCGGAGATAGTTGAGCAGTACCTGAACCAAGACCTAGAATGAAACAGTAACAACTGAAAATGTCCCTAGAGGGACAGAACAGTGTGTTGCTTACTAGGGATCCAATGAAATAACAGACAGCTTCTCATCAGAAGCTACAGAGGCAAAGGGGCAGTGGGAGAACATTCAGAGTGCTCAAAGCAAAACTGAAGAAGCCAATGTTCAGCAAAGAGCTTTCAGAAACTAAAGGGAAATAAAGATAGTTCTTCAAACTAAAAGCAAGTGACTCCAGATAGTAATTCAAATATGGAAAAAAAAAAACCACTGGTAAGGATAATTATGTAACTCTAAAGACAATATAAAATGTCTCCTCACAACTCTACAAAACAACACATATATAACATTGTTGGACCTATAACATACAGAAATATGATATGTTTGCAAAAAACACAAAGAGGGTAGGACTACAGGAATGACTCCAGGTGACAACTGAAAACCATAGCAACCAACAAAGAGAATCCGAAATGATAAAGTCAACATAACAAAGCTTTAATATTTACACTTTTACACTATACTCCTCTCAACTCCTTTAAAAGTCAAACTATAAAAAAAAACAGTGCATTGTTGAATTTATGACATTTACAGATACTATGTGTGTTATACTACTACCACCAAAAGGATGAAAAGGAAACAGCTATTAAAAGTCACACTTATATCTCACTGGAATTAAGTGAGTATAAAATTGAAGCTGATATTGATAAGATGTAAGTATATGTGGGGGTTTGGGAAGATGTTGCTCAAAAGGTTCAAGCTTACTTTTATAAGTAAATTCTAGGGATTAGGGATCTAATATAGTGCACATTATACTGTGACTGTTATTAACAACAATGTACAATTATTACATACTTGAAAGTTGCTGAGAGAGAAAAAAGTTACTGAGGGACATTTCATAATGATAAAATGTCAGAGAGAAGACTCAAATTACTAAGAAAATAATGAGATTAAAACAAAAAGACTATAAAGGAATATTATAAACAACTGTACTCCAACAAATTAGCCCAGAGGAAATAAACAAATTCCAACAAAGACACAAACTACCAAAACTGACTCTAGAAGAAATAGACACTGTAAGTAGACTTATGACATGCAAGTCCTTCATCAATAAATTACCCACAAGGAGAAGCGTAGGCTCCAGTGCCTTCACTGCTGAGTCCTACCAAACATTTAAAGACAGACTACTAATTCTTCACAAACTCTCAAAATATAGGAGAAATGCTTCCCTGTGTATTATGACTCTATAGTAAAGTACAGTTTACACTAGGAATGCAAGCAAGGTTGGTTTAATGTATGAATATCAATCAGTAAAACTCTTAAAACCAGGATAAATCTGTACAACTTTAGATCTGGCAATGTATTCTTGGACATTACACCAAAAGCACAATCAAGAAAAGAAAAAAGTCTTCATCAAAATTAAAATTTTTGCCCTGGCTGGTGCAGCTCAGTGGGCTGAGTGCCAGCCTGCAAACCAAAGGGTTGCCTTTCAGTTCCCAGTCAGGGCACATGCCTGGGTTGCAAGCCAAGTCCCCAATAGATGGCGCTTGAGAGGCAACCACACACTGATGTTTCTCCCCCTTCCCCCCTCCCTTTCCCTCTCTAAAAATAAAACCTAAAAAATATTATATATTAAAAAATTTAAAATTTTTTATCCTCCAAATAATATCAATGAAAAGATAAAATAATAGAAAATATTTGCAAATCACATATATCTCATAAGGCAGTAGCATCTAGAGTACGTAAGAACTACAATTTGACAACAAAAAAGCAAACAATCCAATTCAAAAATGGGCAAAGGATTTTAAACATATTTCTCAAAAGAAGACATACCAATGAGCAGTGAGCAAATGAAAAGATGGTTGACATGATTAGTCATCAGAGAAATGGAAATGCCACAATGAGACAGTTCTTCATACCCACTAGGATGGCCAGATTCAAAAACTCAGATAATGGACAACACATACAATAAAAGACACTCAAGATCTTTAGACATTAGAAAAATACAAATCAAAACCACAGTAAGGTACCAGCTGATATCCACTGGGATGGCTAAAATTTAAAAAAAGTGGAAAACAAGTCAGCGAAGATGTAGACAAATTAGAACTCTCATGCAAGGTGGGAATGTAAAATGGTGTAGCTGCTGTGACAAACAAAATGGCAGTTCCTCAAAAAATTTAACATAGAACTAATATATGACCCAGCAATTCTACATTTTTGGGCATATACACAAAAGAATGGAAACCAAAACTCAAAAAGATACTTGTATGCCCATGTTCATAGTATCATTAGTCACAATAGCCAAAAAATGGAAACATCCCAAGTGTCCATCAATGGATGGATGTAATGGATGAAAAAAATGTGGTATATCCATACAAGGAAATACTATTCAGCCTTAAAAAGGAAGAAAATTATCACTTATCTACAACATACATGACTCTAAGAGACTAGCCCCAAAAGGACCAATATTGCACAATTCCACTTATACGAGGCACCTAGAATAGTCTAATATAAAGACAGAAAGTAAAATGGTGGTTACCAGGAGCTAATGAAAATGAGAAAGGAGAGAAATTACTTAATTAGTAAGTAGTTTCACTTTGCAAGAATGGAAATGTTTTGAATCTAGATAGAAATTGTGAGTGTACAACACTGTGAATGTACTAAATGCCAATGAATTGTTCATTTAAAAATGGCTAATTCTGTTACACGTATTCTACCTCAAAGTATTTAAAAAAACAAAGATAATAAAGTGCTGACAAAAATGTAGAGAAATCAGGACCTTCATTATAGCTGGTGGAAGTGTAAAATGGTGCAGTGTCTACTGAAAACAATCTGGTAATTCCTCAAATGGTTAACAGAGTTACCATGTGATCTAGCAATCCACTCTTAAACGTACACTGAAATGAAAACATCCATGCAAAAACCTGTGCACAAATGTTCATAAATAGCCAGAAAGTAGAAACAATCCATTAACTGAAAAATGGATAAACAAAATACTATGTAGTCATACAATGGAAAGTGATGTCTTTAAATTGACTGTGGTGATGGTTATACATACTGTGAATATCCTAAAATCTACTGAGATATATCAAATGAGTGACTTACAGGGGATGTGAACTGTATCTTAATGAAGCTGTTAAAAACGTTCGTCGTTCTGAGAGTAAGGAAGTAGCATCTTTTCTCTTTTATATTCCAAAATACTCACTTTTGCCATCACATAAATGGCACACAGTAACAGCTGGTCCAGATGTCTGTCCATCATAAGTTCAGGACACTGTACTAGGGAGAATTCAAAGCAGGTCCAGATTTTTTTCCTTAGTTCATCTGAGATATCCAGTTTGGCACACAGATCCCGAAGGCGGACACCTGCTAAATGGTAAACCTAGTAGAGAAACAAAAACATTTCACATTTTATTTCTCTAACACATTTCCCAAACTTATAACCTGGTAAAGGTACATGAACAATTACCTTTCTAAAGAAAAGTGATAAAGAGCTGATCTTCTTGGGTCTCGCACTGCTGCTGGTTAAAGGCAGACCTTGTTTCTGCTGCTGCCCACCAGGGGAAATCTGTGGAATGGCCACCTGGCCAGAGACTTGCAAGGCTGCTCCTGTGACTTGCTGAGAGCTCAAGTTTCCAGCCAGGGCTTGAGCACTGAGGGGCTGGATAGAGCCAGTCACAGCTTGTGCCTGTCCCCCAACATTGACCTGGACTGGGAAGAATGTTATCCCTCCATTTTCATTGGCAATACCTGTATGTTACAGAGAAAAAAGCATAAGGAAATGTTGGCAGTACAAAAACCTTGTACTCCCAACAGGCAGGGGTTTCCAGTTCCTGCCCCCCTCCTAACACCTTTTTCATCTAAACACTTCTTTCATATTATTATTCCAGCCAAATATCAGGTAACTTTCTAGTAAATGCCACAAAAAAATCTCACTAACCAACTCTGCCTTCCTTACCTTGTACAGGAATGGTCACAGTTTGTCCATTGTTAGCTGTGACAGTGGCTGTTGCCATGGTGACCAAAGTCTGTCCAGGAACCGGTGTGACAGAAACAGCCTCCCCAGACACATTCTGGACAGGGACAGCATTGACTAGGGGTTGCGGTGGCATGCGTCCCGATGCTCCTCTGTCAGAGGGGCTATCATTCTCAACAAAGAGCCGTCTTCTGGTGGAGCTGACTGTCGGGGAGCTGTACCTGTCATACAGCGTGGCTGGGGATGTTATGCCTAGGGGGAAGAGAGCATCAAACAAGCCACTGAACTCAGGGAGACTGAAATCTGACGTCATCCAAGCTGTCACTACTATTCATAAATTAATTAGTGTTGGAAATACTTCATAACTTAAAAGCAAACAAAAATTACGGGAGTCACATCATAGCTACGTTCAAGTAATACAAATTCAACTGAACGCTATAATGAGCAAAATGTAAAGAGAGATTTTTCTCTATTTGTCTCATAGTACTCCCTTCTTTACCTCTCCTGCTAAATCAAACTAGGCTTTGTTCTCCACTACTACAGGGTCTTGATGAGTGAGGGGCAATTTAAAGCATTATTCTATTTTTCCATTATATTTTTTACCATATTCAATATCTACCTAATACTAATGTAAAATGTGATTTTTACTACAAACCTGCTACTTGATAAGGGGACATGCTGGATTTGATATTCCTATAGTACCACCTGGGAGCATTTATTTCCTCAGTGTTATGGATTTGTCCACATACAGAAAATTACTAAAACTTGCCCTGGCTGGTGTGGCTCAGTGGATTGAGTGCTGGCCTGCAAACTGAAAGGTTGCCAGTTCAAATCCCAGTCAGGGCACATGCCTGGGTTGCAGGCTAGGTCCCCAGTTGGGGACACACGAGAGGCAACCAATGTATCTCTTCCACATCGATGTTTCTCTCCTCCTCTGCCTCCCTTTCCCTCAAAGAATATATGAATAAAATTTTTAAAAAAGAAAATTACTAAAACTCAATAATGTCCTTCAGAAAGAATGGATATAACATGTTTTGAATCCAATTAAGTTTAGTTTTTTAAACTTTATTGAGATATAATTCTCATACATTTCACCCATTAAAAATTGTAAGAATTCAATGGTTTTTTGTATATTATTTTTTTAAATTGTGGTAAAATAAATACAAATATATAAACATACACTTTAAAAATAGGAAACATCAATACAGAATATGCTTTTCTAAAAGACACTTGTTACATCACGCATTTCCCTGTGTTCTTAAAGAGTCTTCAAACACATTACTTAATACATCACCCATGTGGCACTATAATGTACAGAATATTTTCTTCTATATATGCCTTATGAACTTCATTTTCAGATTTAGGTGGAATTTAAATCCTCAGATATTAGGCTTTCCAATATTTGCCTTAGTATTTTAAACTTACTTCTTCCAAGTCCTCCAGTATCAGCCCGAACTTCACTCACTCTTCTGGGAGTCAAAGGGGAGCCAGTGGCACAAATTTCATCTGCTCTTTCCAGGTTATGAGGTGGCATGACCTATAAAGATTGTTTACACAGAATACCAATATCCAAACAAGCATTATAATAAAAAATACAATTATAATCTAAGAAAAAAAACTATCTTGGCTCATCGGTTATTCCATCTATCAGCTGTCTTTTCCATTTTCATATTAAAGTTAAATTCTGGAAGGCTCAAAAACTTCAAAACCCAGTAAGTAGATAATAAATATAAATTAATATTCCTTAATGATTTGGAGAATGAGAGAAGCAAGCATTCTAAGATACAGAAACTTGATTAAGAAATCAAGACAGAACACCAAATTCTTACTCTGTCCCTGGAAACTTGGGGCAATCCCAAATTATTTCTGATTCTTGTTTCCTATTAGATACAGGAGTGACTGTGCCATATTGAACCCAGACGCTACGCTCCCACCCTGCTTCACATCAACTCTAAGTTTAACTGTTCCCTGTGACAAAGGATTATGATCTGACTAGATATTGCTGAACTTTTGTTATGGAAAGATGTGAAGATATTTTCACAAACCTCTTCACATGTAGGAATTCTGTTTTCATTGTCTCTAATTTTGTCCCAGAGTGGAGACTCTGATTTCCATGCCAAGTGATCCAAGATTTGTTCTTCAATCTGATTGAGGTGTTTTACCACCTCTCTGCACAGGCCGTCTTCTGCTCTAATGAATACTTCTATCACCTGAAATAAAGAAAAATGCTCTGGGTTAAGAGCAATTTTTTTTTTTAATTGTTTAAGTATAAAAAATGGGTAAACTTTTTTTTACATAATTATAAATACAATTTATAAAACATTACAACTTTAAATAATACTATTTTGAAACAGCTGCTCTTCCTTTCACAGTCTTTATGAATATTTAAACTGCATGAATGAGTTATATAAAACCATTTTATAGTGCTGTATTTCAAAAATTTTTAAATGAAAGAACATGTCTTATCTGTTGAGACTGAAAACATTACTCTTTAAATTTCACATTTAAAAACTGTAGCCCTGACTGGTGTGGCTCAGTTGGTTGGGCATCATCCCACAAAGCAAAAGGTCACCAGTTTGATTCCCTGTCAGGGCACATGCCTGGGTTGCAGGTTTGGTCCTGGTGCGGGTGTGTACAACGGACAACAGACTGATGTTTCTCCTACATCGATGTATCTCTCCCCCTCTTTTTCCCTCCCTTCCCCTATCTATAAAATTTATGAACAGAAATCTTTTAAAAAAACTGTGAACTTTCAATCTATGCCACTATAAAAATGTTTTGGCTGCTGAATCTGAATTAAATAAATTCATACAGTAAATTAATATTAAGGAAACAACTACCCAATCAATACCATAACTCTGTGCCTCATGTGAAAGACAACTTTTGTTTCTGAAAGATATTTAATACTATTTACTTTCCATAAAGTAAAGAAAAAGAGAGACTGCTGTACAAGATCACCTAGCAATATGTTTTCTATTTTTAAAAAAACTTTCTTAAGCTCATAAAATGAAAGTATTCTAAAAAACCTTTATGAAATAAAGGGAATCAAATGAAGCTTTTACTGAGAATAGTTCTTCATAGTAAAAGAATTTATACACTTCTTAAGACTTTATTTCTTCTCTGCTCCCCAAAGAGTAGAAATTATTAAATATGTAATTAAAATTAGAAGGAAAGTACTTAGATATTGAAATGAACTAGATGGCTGACAACAGGAAGATGTTCTCATTTACCATTCCCTCATAGTATAAGATTTTTTTTAAATACCTTATAAAAGTGATAAAGTGGCACATCAAATATTTCAGCAATGAATGGAAAATTCCCAGGAGGCTTATAAGAAAAAATGACGACCTCAAGGCAGCAGGCCACCAGTGACCTGTGGAATGCATCTTGTTCCAGAATCCCCTACAAAAGTTAATATTTAGAAACATTAGCCTACTTGAACAAGACATTTTATACCCAGTCAAGTTATTCTGAGTTAGAGAGAAGTATGTGCTTATTTTTTTTCCTATGAAGTTAAGTTTTATAAGTCCATTTTATAGCAATTTTAAAAATCTTACACATTATGAAATATAGCTAACAAAAGATTACATCCCTAAAATATACATAACATTCTGATGCTCAGAAGAATAATGATCTGGGAAGATGTTTCAAAATAGTATTTCAAAAGAGGCCACTGTCACAAAAACATGGCCGGAAGGAAGGCAGGTGACTTGACTAGACGGTCATGGACCAAAAGTCAACATATTTACTCAGGGTGACACAATCACAGATGATTTTCACATTTCCTTTTTTCCCCCCCTTATTTTCCAAAACTGTACATAATTATCATTTTCCAAAACTGTACATAATTATTTTTGAATTAAAAATGTATAGACACAAAAAGTATAGGCCACAAGAACAAAAAATAGGTAGACTTCATCATAATTAAAACCTTTTGAGTATCAAAAAATATTATCAATGAAGTGAAAATATCTGCATATCATATCTGGTACAGGATTAATATTCAGAACATATACTCAAAAGAACTGAAAGGAGAAACTCAGATATATACATTTGTACATCAATGTTCATAACAGCGTTATTCACAGTAGCCAAAAGGTGGAAACTCAAATGTCCATCAACAGAGGAATGGATAAACAAAATGTAGTATGTACACATGAATGTGGGGGGGGGGGCGTGTGTATAACGTCATTCATTCTTAAAAAGGAATAAAATTCTGACACATGCTACAAGATGCATGAACCTTGAAAACATTATGCTAAGTGAAACGGACTAGACACAAACAACAAATGTTACATGATTAGATGAGGTACCTAAAATAGGTAAATTCCGAGAGAAAGTAGAACAAAGGTTGCCCAGTGCTGCAGGGAGGAGGGAATGGGGAGTCACTGGCTACGGGGGCAGACTAGCAGCTTGGGGCAATGAAAACATTCTCAAGATGGTTAGCGGTGAGGGCCGCACGACGTTGTGAATGGTTACTGCTAGTGAACTGTGCGCTTAAAAACGCTAAGACAGTAAATTTTATGCATCTTTTAACACAATAAAAAATTTTAAATAAATTTCTTAGGTGAGGATACAGATAGCCGCTTACTATCAACCTCTAAACTATAGCTATGTTTTCCTTCTGTATGTGTTTCAAAATTTGAAAACTTGTCACAAAATAGCTTTTTAAATTCCTACAGCCATATTTTTATATCTAGGAAATGTAAATAGGTATATGAATTAGAACAATTATTAGTCAATTTTATAATTTTCTGCAGAACGCTATTTAAAAAATTAGTTAAAAAGATCTTGGAGCCCTGCCTGGTGTGACTCAGCAGACTGAGTGCCAGCCTGCAAGCTGGTTTGATTCTTAGTCAGGGCACGGGCCTGGGTTGCGGGCCAGGCGCCCCCGGTGGGGGTGTGCAAGAGCAACCAAGTAACAGCTCTCTCACACATCAGTGTTTCTCTCTTGCTCTTTCTACCTCCCTTCCCTTCTCTAAAAATAAGTAAAATCTTTAAAAAATATATTTTTGGTGAAATTAAAAGTAAATAGCACTTGCTTAAAATCAATGTACATTTCTTGACTAGTAAAATCTAGGAAAAATAATTCTCTTAGCCAAAGAGGAATGGCTGAATATTTGTTAAAGTCCTACCTAAATATTTGTTATAAGTATAAATATTTAATATTTATTAAAGAATAAATAATCAATAATTTATTCTTGCTATATAAGGCTTGAATAAAATCTCTGTTATTTAAAAACTCGGAATGTTTTCATCCTTGACTGGAGCCGTGCTGCCCCCCCAAACCGGAAGTTGTAACACATGGCCCAGTGCAGTGGGACGCTAAGTGTTAGGGGCTGGCGGTGAGAGCTCAGAACACAAGTTACCTTCAGGGGAGTCTTACTCCCTCAAAATCACGTTCCATTCTTTTCTTCAATAAAGGCCTGTGTTGTTGTTGTGGGGGCTTTTTTGGTGGTTAGGGCCGACAGAAAACTACATTTTACAGTGCTGATCAATACATTGGTTATTTACTCACAGATAAATCCATGTCTCCCAGTCTTTTTTGTTCCTGCTCAATAACACATTCTAGTACTTTATAGTAAAGCATCTCTGCAAAACGAAAATGTCTGCTGGCCATTTCTGCGTGAACAATAAAAAACTATAATCACATGCAAAGAAAACAAATATCGTGAAAAATGAAAGTTCATTACCCCTACCCAAAAAATATAATTTAAAAACCAACACAACATTTCACCTATATGCACTTCCTACTGCTATTTCAATCATCCCTAAATTTCTGTTTTTCATGGTAACAAGTTATAGTTTTCTAAAACTGTGAAATGAAATTTTCCCATAAAAAACTATAATGGCATTCCATTCATATTCACTTTTTTTTTTTTTTTTTTTTTGGTATGTTTGAACAGGGAAGCTCCATGCCAAAAGGTCTGGTTTACTATTCTACTCATATTTGAGGTTTTAATTAATAACATCAAACAACTCGTAGCACAGGTCTGGGCATGAACAGAGAGCTATACTCTGTTCTTGTTCTTAATATTCAAAAGAACCACTATACTTCTATATTTAAAATCCAGTCTACAAATGAAAACTAAAGATTTCCCAAACAAAAAAGTACCAGGAGTTCAACATAACGAAGACATCAGTCTAAAATTTCTCTTATTGAGAAGGTTGGTTGACCAAAAAATTAAACCATCGTATTCTAGATCTCAATTTTAAAAGCATAAATCTTTTTTTCAAATTTCTGACTCAGTTACCAAGAAAGGACTTCATGCAGTTAAACCTCAAGATGAGAACAATACAATATGAAGCTTCACCTTTAGCAGAATAATTGAATTCCTCATCTGGTTGACCATGCTGAGAATATATTTCAAACATTTCTTTCAATCTGTTGGCAATGGCCTGGGTTGGATCTCTAGAACATGTCCTAAAAAAATAGTAAGAAATTATCTACTTTAAAGGTCTGGTTGAGTTACAAAGTGATAAACTGTTTACAACTCTGTATTTTTACTAACCTGTAAATACAGAACACGCTAAACACAAACTACACACTCCTGAAGTTGATCTAGGAGATCCCATCTTATCAAGGTGATGGCATTACCATTTTGAAAACAATCCCTTGTGTCAAGTCATATTTTTTACCACAGTAAGTTTAGCAACCCTAACCAGTGCCCGTTTGATGGCCAAGACTGGCCCCCCAACCTTATACATCTGTAGTCACCAATGGCAAACAAAACTGCTCCCAACTATTTTCCCAGGGGGCAGTATACTCTCATTAAAACTCCTGGAAGAAAACAGAATGAAGGGGTATATCATCTATACCGTACACTCATATAAACAAACCATCACTGCTATTCTACATCTTTTCCTCCAGACCAGATTTATTTCATAGGCATTTTTTGCTTGTTTTTCATTTTTTGTTTTTTTACTATAAGGGCAATATATGTTCAATGCAGAACTATTATACAGATTATCACCAAGTGGGCTTTTTGTTACAATTTTTTTTTTATCTTGATCATAAATACACATATTCATTGTAAAAATGTAGAAAGTTTAGAAAATTATAAAGAAAATCAAAATCAGTTGTAATCCTGCTGGAGATAGCTATTGAATATCATATACATACACAATTTTATTTATAAACACACACAGGTACTTTCTTACAAAAATAGGACCTTTTGGTTTTTCCTGGTATCTACTGGTATTTAAATATCACTAACAGTATTTAAGATGGAAGAAGCTGCTATATCTGGTAAGAGATGATAAAAAGATTTGGAAGATACAGAGATTATATCAGGCTTCTAAAATATATTCATAAAATGCTTCTGTATAGTGGTTCTGTAAAAACAAGATCCATTTAAACAACACGACTTAGGAAGAGGACAGACATAGCCTGCTGGGTGTTAATCACAATCAAGTTTATGAAAAAAGGAGCCCTCATGAAAACATGGAGGTAAATTAGTCAGCCTTGGTGTTTAACGAGTCCAGCTATGAGTGGGGAATCACTAGTATGTGTATACAGGGCCTTCGTACACCCTATCACCTGAAATAAAATGGGCACCTACAGGGTCTATGTCATCAAATCACACACTTTTAGGACTAACAACCTTTTCGGGAGAAAGGTGTTTTATAGAGTTTACAAAAGTTACAGTGGTGTTAAGTTGTTTAAGAATATAGCTGTCTATGTTTTGAACTATGACCCACCCTCCAGACACTTGTTTAGGCCCAACCCTCTTTGTGAATTCCTTTGACAACTACCATCGCTACTCGTCCCCACTTTCCCTGAAATCTTAAGACAGACACTTGGTAACAGACTGTTCGGTGATTTATTCTATAGTGTCCTGTGTTACTAGTAACTGACTCCTGTACTATATTAAGAGTATCTGAATGCTGTGGACTAAATATTTGTCTCCCCAGTGTCCAAGATCATGTCAAAAACTAATCCCCAATGTGATGGCATTTGGAGTAACTGAGAAATGATTAGGTCGTGAGAGTGGGGTCCTTCTGAACGGAATTAGTGCCCTCATAAAAGAGACCCTAGAGAGATTCTTTGTCTCCTTCAGCCATGTGAGGACACGGCAAAAAGACAGCAAGGAAGTGATCCTCACCAGACACTGAATCTACTGACACCTTGAACTTGAACTTCCAGCCTCCTTAACTGTGAGAAATTAATTTCTGTTGTTTCTAAGCCACCTGGTCTATGGTATTGTTATAGAAGCCCGGACAGACTAAGATACTGACGAAAAATTATCATCTTCTAATTATACATCTTATATTGCTATGTCATCTGCAAACTAATAGCAGTACTTAGCATACAAACAATATGAATTAATGAGTAAATGACGGCACTAATAGTGAAAAATTAAAATAAAAAATTAGGAAACAATCAACCGCCAATTCTTAGAAGGCAAGCAAGGCTCAAACTAACCTTAGCATATGTTCCAGTTTCTCACTTGGTGAATTTCTGGTGCCTGTTAGCATGGTGTGAAGACGACTCAAGCTATGCGTAGCTGTCACAGAAGGGCCATTATCCTTCATGTGCCTCGCACCTGTAAGTGGTGTGGAGACTCTAGGTGCTTTAGACTAAAAAGGGAAGAAAAGAACATTACTGCAGGTCAGAAAGACTTTCAATTACTTCACAAAGGAGAATTAAAGGCATTCAGACTTTATCTTTACAGTATTAACAAATTTTAGTGATTCAAAATCACCATTTTTAGAATTTAGACAATGCCACTAAAAGCCACCACTCTCCCTATGAAGATGTGTGGAAGGACAATGTGTATTTTAGCTAACTAAAAAGTTTGTTTCTTAAAAGTTAAATCTTGAAGATAAAGCATATTTCCCTATAATCCCTACTTTAAAACTTAAGCATGAAGGCAAAAAAAAAAAAAAAAAAAAAAGCATTATAAACTTAAAAAAAGCATTACTGAGAAACAGCTAGCATCTACAGCTCCTTTTGTAAATGCCCAAATGAAACCCATGGTTTAATAAAAGTCCATCTAAATGATCAAACAAGCTTCGGAGAGAGGATAAAATGAACACTGCTAAATGCAGAATACAACCTGACGCAGAATGGCCTTCTTGCCCCTCCTATATCTGTATTCACTGTTCCCTGTCACAGTTTTTTCCCCTTAAAGTAGATAGAGCTTCACGTAAGTTTAAGTCAATGTTCTTGAATATAAACATAAAAAACACATGACTTCATGTCAAAGAATTTAAGCATGACTAGATAGACATCTCTTCTAATTTTCCCAATAAACCCTTAAAGGTTAAGATAGCTTAAGAGTGTTTTTTAATATTTAAGATAAAGTATATTTTCCAACATATGTTTTTATTCCAGAGATAGCTGTAAAAACACCTAGCAAAAATTTCGTCTGGCAACAGAACCATTCAAGTTTGAAATACAGAAAAGCACAGAAATTAACCATCCAAAAATAAATCAATATGCTTTTTCTGTGACTTAAACAGTAGAGTCAAGACTGCCATTCTGTTTCAAAGAAATTAATTCTATGTATTTTTTAGGTCAATAAAATGACCTAACATTAAGGTTGACTATGCTTGTTCGGAAGGTGGCTCCCCTGCCTCAGACAGCTCTTCCTGCAGCTTCTTCCCTGCTCCTGGGCACAGCCCTGCTGCCAGGGGCGAGTGCAGGAGAAGTGACAGCAGCATCTCCCCGCCTGGCCTGCAGGGAGCAGCGCTTCCACAAGGGAACGAGATACGATGACCACGGCACTGGCTCCTTGGTAGGGCTGTTTAAGCTCTTAGCTTAAAGCTTCCTGTGCACTCTCAACAAGAGGGGCCTTTCTCTAAGTCATGTATTAACATTGAATTGGTATTTTTAAAAAACAGTAAGATGGTCCTTCTCTAAGTAAAGACTCCTAATTTTTGGAGTGGCCCAGAACTCTGTTTTCAGGCCTCATTTACTCTCTAACTCAGATTAGTGCTAGGTTCTCTCTCTTCAGACACGGCTTTAAAGGCCACCGAATGACAGTCCCCTGAAGGCTCCAGGACACACACACCCGGCCCTAACCTCTGCAGCAAACCTCATTCTTGTTACCGAAACTGCCTACTCAACTGCTCTGAGATGCCTAAAAGGAATCCCAAACTTAATAGGCTCTTAATCTTGACTCTTGATTTCTTTCCCCATACTTGCTCTTCCTCCTCAATAAATGTTAACAGTAAGTACTCATGGAACACTTATGTGCCAGGCACTGAATACAGTACTGGTCATAGTCTTCGTGAAGCTTATAACCTAGTGCAGGGAGACAAATAAACAATTATCTTCACCTCTCTCTCCATGTCGGACAGACAATTCTTTTCTTTCTACCTGCCTACAATCAGACAGTGATAAATACAAAAGTAAGAGGGAAAGGAAGTCTGAGGGTTGGAGATGTCAGCCATTATTTTATACAGTAGTCAGATTATCAGAGACCTGAATGAAGTTAGGAAGTCAATCACATGAATATCTTGAAGAAACATGTTCCAGCAGAGGAAATGGCAAGGGCAAAGGCTCTGAGTTTGAGTATACAGGTTCTGGCACAAGTAACATCCCTTTTTTATTATAAAATCACAAGCATGTAATTCTATAACATCACAATATCACACTCAAGCAACCATATGACATTTTAAGTGAAATGCTCAAATTAAAACTCTAAATGATTATACTCGTATTATTCCCCTACCAATCCCATTCAAGCAGGCCCCTTCTGCTGGTCCCTGTACTTGGCACACCCGAAGAATGAAAAAGGAGGCTGACTGTGGCACAGGTGGAATGGACAGAGAGGAAAATGGCAGGAGAGGAATTCAGAGAGGAGACAGGGCTAGATCACTTAAGACCTTGATACCATTCACCCAGATGAAGTCATCACCATTTTCTTTCTCTCACGCCCTAGCTCCAAACCCAGTGTCTCCAGAGCCACTTGTCAGAAGCTGTGTGTTTTCTGTTAAAACACACAACAGAAGGGAGGCTCTTAGTCTCCATCACCCCACGTATTTGCATGCTCTAACACCCCATGGTCCCCAAAGTCAGTTTACAAGGATTTTCAAGCCTACAGATTCTGAGCTTCTCCATTCTCTTACATAAAGACATCAATTTAGGTCAATTAACATTTTCTAAATGTCTTCTATTTTCAATATGTAAAGGCTGCATATTACTGGCCCATGTTTTCAAAACCAACAATCAGCAGCATGAACGTTCATTTAAATTCGTATGAAATTCTCTTTTGTCTCAGATCTAGCTGAAAACTTTAAATCACTACACAAAAATTGAGATAACTTTTTCATGTAAGGCAGGTATGATGAGAATTTTCTTCCTCACAATGGAAGCAAGTAAATGCACACACAATTGCCAAACTAAAACAGACCTCGGCAGCGCACCCTTGCATTTCTACTCTCCTGGCGAGGCAAGGCTTACCTTGTCAAAGTGCTGCTGCAAGATGTTTTTCATCTGCACCCTTTCAACACTCTCTGTTCCTGACCCAACATTCAGACACCTGGTGAGCGTTCCAATTTCCTCCTCAGCATCCTCTCCAAGAAATATTCTTTCATCTAAATTCCCAACAGATAGAACATACTCCTCATAGGCCTTACTGATGGCTTTACTACAGGGAGAAGAAAAAAAAAAGGTAAAATATACACTCAGAACTGCCATTTCAGGTCATGTTGTAGTCTACTTAATTATTTTAAAAATATTTTTTATTGTTTTATTTTTAGAGAAAGGAGAAGAGAGGGAGAAAAGAAGGGAGAAAAACAATGACGTGAGAGAGGAACACTGATCAGCTGCCTCTCACATATGCCCTGACCAGGGACCAAACCCACAACCCAGGCATGTGCTCTGATAGGAAATAAAACCAGTGACCTTCCACTTTGCAAGATGACCAGCCCAACCAACTGAGCTATACTAGTCAGGGTGATCCACTTAATTATTTCATATTTTTGTTTACTACAAGTTCTATTAATTTTGTGAAAGTTCAACTTTAGTGGGGTCACTGTTGATTATAAACACTGAAGAGCATCTGCACTGTGCCCCTCCACTGCACAGAAGCACACCCTGCTGGCAGTGCCCGAGTGGGACACTGCCCTAATCCGCCTGGGGAGCACAGCGTCCGGTGAGAAGTTTAAGCATCCCTCCTTGCTGCTCCAGGTGCCTTTGAAGACCTCAGTACTCCTGCATCATTTTTCACCTGTACAGTTCCAAAAGAATTTCTTTATTTCAAAAATTATGATCCAAAGGCTTAACTATTAAAGCTTTTAAGAACAGCAATACAATTTTTTTTTTATTCTCACCTGAGGACATGCTTATGTATTTTAGAAAGGGGGAAGGGAGATAGAGACAGAGAAAGAGAAACAGTAGTATGACAGAGAGACATTGACTGGTTGCCTCTCAGATGCCCCCTACTGGAGACCAAACCCACAATCCAGGCATGTGCCCTGACCGAGAATCAAACCCACAACCTTTCGGTTTACAGGACAATGCTCCAACCAACTAAGCCACACCAGCCAGGGCACAGTACAAAATTTTAAATTAATAAATTTAAAATTGTTCTTAGAGCAATAGTTGATAGGAATTTTTATTACTTCTTTGTATCTTCCACAAAACACATTCTAAATTTCCAAGGTACAAACTATAAAAACACTAATCTCTGAGGTTTTCTAAGCACACAATTATACATTAAGATAGTTTTATAACAGAAGTACTCACAAATTCTCTCCAAAGTTCACAGGCTCTAAAAATCCGGTAAGATTTTCTTCTCTTCCTTTAAGGAGCTGTGATGAAAGAAAAGGTCCTTCCTTAAGTCATCATATTAAATCAAATCTTTCCCACATTATTTTCACATTACATCTTTATGACTTACGAACCTTTTTTTCACAAAGTTTCCTTATATAGGGTTTCCAGAAATGTTCCTTTATTCCCTTTGCTTCCAAAACCAGGCCATCATGTAAGGAACAGAGCTTCTCGATGACACAAGGTGGGTCGGAGGAAGGTTTGAAATCCTTAGCATGAAAATCTTCAGACAGGCCTATGATGTATAGAAGCACAGGACAGGGATATCAGGTAGCAGTCATTAAACCAAATTGTAATAAACTAAAATACAAAATTGCAGAGTCTAATCAGCATATGAGTTACCATATGCATATATAGGAAACAGTGTAGAAGAGCCTAAATTCACTCTAAATGTACCTCAAAAATAGCAAGAAGAGGTAATGTGTACCACTACTCAAAAGATTTAGTTTTTCAATCATGTATCTAAAAATGGCTAAAAAACTGAAGAGTAACTTTAGTATTATGCTATAAGATCTAAAACCTACAAATACATTACTTTGCAAGTAAGCCTTATATTCAAATAAAAAAATACCATTTAAAATAATTACTATCCAGCCCTGGCTGGTGTGGGTCAGTGGACTGAGCGCCGGCCTGCGAACCAAGGAGTAGCCTGTTTGATTCCTGGTCAGTGCACATGCCTCTGTTGAGGTCAGGTCCCCAGTAGGGGGCACTCGAGGAACAACCACACATTAATGCTCTCTCTCCCTTTCTCCTTCCCTTCCTCTAAAAATAAATAAAATCTTCAAATAAATTACTATCCAAAGTATACAACCTGTTTATATACTTTAACTGAATTATACATGTTTGTCATATTAATTTACAGCTAATCTTGGCCTAATCTCAGTGAAAAAAATAAAAGGGGAAAATGAAGGAAAGCAGCTATATACAAATATAAAATGGAGTTAGGAAGGAAATGGGAGAAAAGACAGAATACCAAGAACAGTAAATTTACTAAACCAGGAGCAACTTAACTAGCTCCACTAACTTAAGAAATCTACTTTGAAAGTCAGACAAGCTGAAATTCTATGTAATTGTAACCCCTCAAAACTGACACTCACTCAGAACCCTACCATGGTATTATTCAAATTGCAGCACTGTTGTATACTAGTTCTATAAACACTTTAATATTTTCTTTGTAAATCATAATTTGGTTTCTGTTTATCATTCACAGAAATTACATTCTTTAAAGCCTACTAAATGCACTGCCAAAATAATTATCATTTCCATACAGCTTGTGTGTGTGTGTGTGTGAAGAGATTTTAGTAGCTACATAGCGGCACCATGTGTTCCAAGGGGGATATAAATTACATTATACAAAACACATTGACTGGCTGAGGTAAAAACACACTGTTCCTTCCTCATGTCCCATGAAAGGAAATGCAGAGATACTTTTTAAAATATCTTGCTGATAAAAAAAAAAAAAGTCCCCTAGAAAAGCCTTCCGAGAGGTCTGTGAGGCTCACCCTCCACCATGTGTCAAAGGACAGGTGGCCTCCACAGTGGCCGGGCAATGCTATCTGTCTCGCTACTGCAGGCCCAGGGCTTTGCCCAGGTCGCTCTGGATGGCGTCCAGGAAGTGATCGTTCAGCTTCACGCTGCTGAGACCATGCTGGATGCAGCCTGCCAGGTCCTTGGTCGTGGCTCCACTCTCCACTTCTTAAACGCACATCTCCTCCAGGGTCGAGGAAAATCTAATGAGGTCCTGGTTCCTGTCCAGCTTCCCCTGGTGGTCAAGGCCACACATGTCAGGGCAGATACTGACGACGGGGTCGGTGCTGGAAGGCTGGCCCTTCTGGCGCTCCTGATAGTGGTGGATGACTGCCCCATGAGCAGCCTCAGCCTCAATGGTCTTCCCACGTGGGCAGACCAGCACAGATGTCATCGGGCCAAGGGAGCCAAAGCCCTGGACTACGATGTTCAACTGCACATCTTCACCATCGTTTTGGTTCCTACAAAGCTACCTAAAGACTTGAGGGCCTGAGCCTCCATGTCACCAATGAGCTGGTTCTCATACCAGATTATAGTCTTACCTAACTTGGTCATTTATTTTTTTAAATTTTTATTGATTGTAGAGAGAGAGAAAGAAAGGGAGGAAGAGAAGGGAGGTGGAGAGAAACATACATCGATTTGCTATTCCATTTATTAACACACTCATTGGTTGATTTTTCTTTGTGCCCTGAGTGGGGATCTAACCTGCAACCTTAGAGTAGCAGGATAACAGTCTAACCAACCAAGCTACCTATCCAGGGCTGCCTAACTTGGTTTTATAGTGCTTCTCAAAGATCTCCTGGAAGATGTCCTTGAAGCACCCATCCTAGGCTTTCAGAGCAGTGTTCTTGGTGCTCATGGACAGTGGCCACTTCCGGATGGCATGCTAGAAGCGGCTGTGTGCAAAACCCGAGATGGACTCATCAGTGTTGTACATGCTGGTGCCTGTGCCTCTGGTGGAGAGCTGGCACACCTCCCACTCCTTAGTCCTGCCGCTGTCCTTCAGGATGAGGACCATCCTGAAGGTGCTGGCCTGCCTGGCCATGATGTCTGTGGCCTTCTACTAGTCGCCATGGGCATGCCTGCCAATGGTGGTGGGCTTGGTCCAGCCAAGGAAAAGGAAGGTTCGACATGGGTCTTATTAGGGGTGATGGTGGCACACCTGACAGCCACACTTTAATTCCAGGTGGCCCATGCGGAGTCGATGGTGACCTGGCTGTCGGTATGGTCAAGGTTTGGGAGCCTCAGGTCAAAATACTTGAGATGGATGTCGATGTGGGGTGGGAGGAGTTTCTCTCTGATGGGCTGCCCGATACTACGGGCCATCTCATTGCTGTCCATCTCCAGCATCGGCTTGACCACCCTGATCTTGTCGACACAGTGGCGCCATGGCTGGCCCTGGAGCCCCAGGCTCTGCCAAATGAGAGTACAACCTGCGGGTAGCCCGCATCTGAGCAGGCATGCAAACAAACCGGGCAGGCAAGATCTGAGTGCTGGACACTGCTCCAGCTGCCTGGTGGTGGACTGACCAAACCTGGCCATTTCCTGCTTTTATTTTAAGAGCCTGCGAATTCATTTTCCTTATTTTAGAACCATAACTACTCCTCTGTGGAAAAAGTCTAAAATGAAGATTCTTTTAGTAAGTCCATTTGACCCCTATCAGTGTGCCAGGCACAAAGCTTCCCGATGTAGAAAAATACCATGTGTTATTTAATGTCATCTTTGCTCTTCTGGTTCGCGAGTCAGCACTCAATCCACTGAGCCACACCAGTCAGGGCTTGTCTTTGCTATTCTAGATTTCTCAATTCCTTCTTCTTCTTCTTGAATATACAATTTCAGAAACTTCTAGTTGTCATGTAAGACTTTAAACTTTGTGATACTTGCCATTGCTTTTTTCATATGTATTGTTACAGAGACCCCTAGATATAAGTACTCTGGAAAGCCATAAAGATGGCGCTTTTCAAAGCACGGTTTCTAACGCTAAGAAATCTATACTATGTACAAAACTCCCAAGAGCAAACATAATGTAGAAATGTGAGTTGTCTAATAATCTTTGATTTACAAACTTACCTTTAAAACTCGGGTTCACAAGTTCTTTACGGTTGGCGCACTGAATGGCATTTCCATAAACTAAGTCCAAAGCACATAGCAGAAGATGGTAAGAATTGACCAAATCATCACTGATCATTGGGAAGTTACCTACAGGATTATAAAGAGTTAGAGAGGTAAATATGCATCAACTTTACAAGGTTAAAAATAATTTCTTCCTTTAATTAAAATGACATTATACAACATTGTACCAAGTAGACTCAAGAGCCACATAACGTGCTTTGGCAAATTCACATTTTGAAATATTACTCTTATAGTTTAATAAATTTCTAAGAGTTTAATGAAAAGTAAAACTACTAAAAATGTCATTTGTTCATTCCGTATTCATTAAATAAGCATTCATGAAATGACAAGTAGCTGACCAAAATTTTCTCATAATTGGTTTTTCCTCTGAAAATTTGGAACACGACTTCATAAATTATCTCAAACTGTAAGAAATTGTTTTATATAAAAATATTTGTCAAGAAAATTAGTAGAAATACATGTAAATAGCTAAAAAATTACTCATGTATCATGTTTTATGTATGTATTTTTAAAGGACCATAGCCTCTAAGTAGACGCCTAACAGTAACATTTTAAATACTTTCCTATATAAGAATATAAGCTAATACAAATTAATGCAACAGGATTACAATTAAAGATATTTAAGATCGAGAGCTGGTATCCCACAAATTGTGGATGCTCAATAATGAAGAAAAAAGATACCAAAACTTAAACCTATAGAAACATGTCATTTCTGCAGTACTGTTTTAAGTCTAACATGGAAAACAGTTTTTACAGGCAGTTAAACAGTTTTATTATTCTTAGAAATTAAGAAATATTTCTAGCTTTATAATTTCAAGAATATCCCCTTTTTCTTTAAATACTGCATATTTATGCTTCATATTGATGTTACATTCTTATAACATCAGATGAATTCAGTTTAAATAATGAACATATATGCAGGATAATTACTTCTAAACCTTGACATTTTCACACTTAATGCCTACCCAACTGTATGCATACAAAAATACACATTCACACTGGTTTGTTTCAGGCTTTTTTTCTCTCTTTTCTGCCAAAGAAAGTTACCACTGACCTCAAGCATATCAGAATAATTCTATTTTGTATAGATAAACACATTCGATAAATCAACTTAAACACAGTAAGAAGAAAAAATATTTTTCTGTTGCCAGAAAGGAAATTGATGACTAACAGGTTAAATACTGCACTAATATAACCACACTAATCTGCTTGGTTCTACTCTAAATATGTTTAATATTAAAATATACTTGGTTCCTCAAATGTAAAACAGGAAGTGGTGGCACTTAATGGTTTCAAGCTACAAAGCCCATCACACTGACAAGCCTAAACTTGTCACTGGTGTGTACTTGCCATACAAGGCAAAAATCCTCAGCACTGCAACTTCTAACAAAAAGCCGAAATGCCCCTGAAGATTATAATCTAAGTTAAACTCCAGGACTGTCCCTACATGACATACTTCACATTTCAAACCCTAACTTCACAAACACATCTCCCTGTGAGATATTTCATCTTTTAATCAACAAAAATAACCTGTTTTACCTCCAGAGCTGGCTTCCTTATCAGGATGAGAAGATGTGGGTTCTTATACAAAACAATGAGTGGCGCCTATTGGTCTTCAGGCCACAAAGACCCTCATGAGGACAAGCCCAAACCTGTCCCTGGTGTGCATTTGCCATAGGAAGTCAACAAAGGAGTACACCTCCCACCAAATAACTACATCAAGAACTGAATAAAACCGATTAAACTGCTGTATGAGAAAATACCCTAGAGAATCCTGAAAGATCCTGGTCCTGGATTGTGAGGGAACTCAAAGGCTGCTCAGATCAAGCACTTTCAGACTGAATTAATAGTAAGATAAAACTCAGTTAACTGCAGAGATGAAAAAATATGCCATTCTAGTTTATCAAATGAGGCCAAAATCAACCTAAGGACAATAAAATTCTTTTAAAATAATTTATATAATACATTTACTCCCAATTACACATATGTCATAAAAGATATAAACAAAACAAAAATCCTAAAGGTCAGATATGCCTGCTCACAGATGGCAAAAATTAACACCATATATATAATACTGCCACCATCAGCCAAAAGTGGTAGCAAGCATAGCAGCCACTAGAAAACAGTTTACATGCGCCTAAGAGTTTCTTTCCTGCTGTGATCACATCACCTGTGTCTCCACTAAAGACATATGTCAGAGTGATGGAAAGTAAAATATCTAACTGCGTATTTTTGACAGAAGACAGATTCTTCTTTTCAATGAAGCATGCAGCTCATGGAAGGAAGGATGCCCTTTCAACTAGCTAACTAAAAAGTACCAGTTTTAATCAGACAAATCAAGTAGCAAGACCAACGAAGTGACATGTTCTTGCTGGAGAGCCTTCACTTCCAGCATGAAACCAAGAACTATGAGATCGAGGGGGTTCAAGTCCTAGATGTTTCTAGCAGCTAGTTTCTGGGGCTCAGCTGCCTTACCTTTAAAGTAAATAAGTTAGGCTGGTTGATGTAATAATCATCTCTTATTTATGAAACTCCTTGCAGTTCTATGATTTTTAAAAATTTTAACTTTGCATTTTATGAGGCTATCTCAATGGCAAAGGCATTCTATATAGTCTCTAGGAAAAAAGCTAACTATCAATATGTAACTTTCTTCTTTTGATTACTAAGAATCATTTCTAAAAAGAAATATAGACAAGAGAAAAAAAAAAAGGTATTTCACTGGATTCAGACCTTCAGTAGGTGAAGTGACATGAGAAAAGTATCTCAAAGCATTTGATCAAGCTTATTTACATGAATAAGGTGCAGAAAGTAATCTGAACTACTGAGGATGATCAGTCCCACTCAGCTAAGACTTGTCTCATGAAAAATACAGCTTAAGATAGAAGCACAGAAACACTGATGTTTCTAAGTCCATAATTCAGAAGAATAGGTTAGGGTGGAAAAGATATTGTATAAGAACAAAACTTAAAACATTTCCATTTAATAACAGAAGTTTTGGATCTTGTAAAGAAATGCAAAAGACCTTTTTTTTTTTTTTTAAACAAAATGGCAATACTTAAAGAATCTGTAAATAAAACCACTGGCAAATTTTTCAGTAAGAATCTTTTCCTGAGACACATTATAGGTTGACAATAATACGGATACATTTAAATAAACTAATATCTAAATAAATGTTACTCTTTTCTTACCTTTTGCATATATAAAAAGCACCCAACAAAAATGGAAAACTTCGGATACGGTACAGGGCTGTCGCCTTTGGAGGAGAAAAAAGCCAGGAGACAATAGAAGAATTAGAAAAAGACATCACAAACAACTATAAATTAGGTGAGAAACAAAACCCACAGAGAAAATCAGAGCAGATTCACTTCACCAGAAAAATGTGCAAGGAGTTCAACTTCAACCACATATGTAAGGAATTAGCGGGGAGCCAGCGAAAGACCTCATCTTAGAAAGAAGAAATTTCTTAACAACTGTCCATTAATGAAAAATCACTGAATCAAAGTTAAGTTTGTAGATTTTTGCAGATATGATTGGAAAGCACAAATTCAGAACAGCTTCAGCTTCCCATTGTCTCCCCCAATCCAGCTTCTCGACTCTTCACTGATAGTAAACATCAAAATATAGAGAGAAGCCACTCCATGGGCATTATTTAGTACTCAGTTTAGACATAAAATTCAAATAATAGAAATAATCGGTGTTTATTATAACACAAATAAAATGAAAGAAATAGGAAATAGAAGAAAACCAAGTAGTCAAATTCCATACCCATTAATTTTGGTGAAAATATCTGTGTTCTGACTTTTGCATTTTTGGTTGCTTAAATGAAAAGTGCAAGTTTATGTGGACAGAGATCCCACACATTCTGCAACATGAAGGAGGCCAAGCCCTTCATGGCCAACATACAATGAAAAGCAAGAAATTATTATTAAAAGAAAGCTATCAGGAAAATAAATTATTTATGAAATCACATTCATTTTTTTAAGGCTAGCAAAATAAATTGCGGGACAAAAACCCAGGGATCAAAACTGTGACACAGACAGACAAATGTGTATTCCTAACCAACAAAGATAAAAACATACCGCTGTTTCCTTCCTCTTGGTTGACGAGGCTGCTCCTCTTGAGGGTATTTAAAAATGTCCTTGAAAATGGGTTCATATTTCTTAAAAATCACAGCAGAAACAGTGAAGTTTCTTTCCAGTCTCTCAGTACGTTCTCTGAAATGCTGGGGGAGATTTGCCATCTCTTCCCATTTCTTCATCTTGTTAAAAAATTCAATTAAGCTAATATTAAAAATAAAAATGAAAAAATTTCTAAATTAACACAAGTACACAAAAAATAATTAAAAGTAAATAAAAATTAACTCATTAAATTATATTTTAGACAGTGATATAAAATCAAAACTCATGCCCCTGAATCACTTAATCTCCTACAGGTTGATTGCTTTCCTAATCAACTTTTTTTCTCAAATTACCTGAAGTTTTTTACATTATAAATTTAAAATAATAATAATTAACCAGAGTAACATAACCAACATTCATGTATCCAACTGCCAGATTTGACAAATATTAACATAGTGAAAAAATTTGGCCCTATCTGCTTCAGGTTCTAGAGAAACAGCCCAAGTTCCCATTTGTGCTCCTCCTCAATCTCATTCCCCACTCTTCTTCCCCAAGGATAAGCACCCTTTTAAGGTTAGTCTAAATCTTTCCCATCCTTTTACTTACTTATACTTACTTTATACTTACTACTTACTAGAGTTACTAATATGGATATATTTGTAGTCTAACAGTATCCAGTATCTTTTTCACATGTGGTTAAAATTTTATACAAATAGTATCATAGTACAAGTAGCATTTTGCAACTTGCTTTTTCATGCAATAATCTTGCTAAGATTAATGTTGATACATGTAGATCTCATTTTTTCATTTTAATTGCAAAAAATATTCCTTCATATGAACTACCATTTTTTGCATTAATTCCCCAATCAATTGAAATTGAGGTTTCTCATTTTTTCATTATAACCACAAATGCTGTAATGAACACATTCTTGTACACACAAGAGTTCCTTTACCAACTACCCCTAGAAGTAGAATTGCTGAGTCAGAGAATCATCCATTTCAATTTAACTAGATCCTACCAAATTTCCCATTGAAGTAGTTCTGCCAGTTATACTCTCAACAATGCAGACAATATAGAATTTGTTTCCCTATATAATGACTGATATTGGTGTTATCAGACTTCAAATTTCTGCAATCTAATGAGAATGAAACGTCTTGTTTTTACCTTGAATTTCCTTGATTACTAGTTTGACTGAACATTTTTGTCTATGTCTATTGTGTGAGTTTTGTCCTTTGTGGAATCATATTATTTACCCATTTTTTTTAGTAGCTGCTTGTCAATTATTTAACCATTTGTTACTAGTTCTTTATATAACTCTAGATACTAATCTTTTCTCAGTTATGTGCATTGGCGATACCTTCTCCCAATACCTTGTTCCTAATCCATGTAGTCCATTATGGCCAAAAAGTAAATAATCTTGAACCCACAGGTAAAAATTTAAAGTTGAACTTCTCAAATGGAAGTAAACTGAAGCCCAAGACTGTATTACTTGCACTTTTCTATTCCTCACACTATGTTTCAAACACTAACATAGTTACCTCTGCTCTGAACACCGCAGGAGTCTAGTTAAAGACACATAGTTTCCTTCCACTGTCCCTTTGCTTACAGTCGGCACAGATTTTCGGCAAGCCACGTATAAGGCACATGCTAACCAATGAAGATCATTGCCCTATGAAAGAAAATTGATATTTAGTTAATGAGCTGTATATTTCAATATAAAACATTCTTATGTTTAAACTGAAAGTGACATTTATGTGTTTGGGGGGGAACTGCATTTTCAATGAGGGCCCTACTGCTTGTGCTCTTCTGATGACGACATTCTTCGCTGAGAGGCAGGAGTCTGGGTTCCCTCACTTTGAACTCGGTTAACCAGCAGCACAGATCAAAGCAATATTTTGTAACTTTCGCAATCATTAAAGGCAATGGATTCCACCAGGCTCCATCAGGGCACATGCCTTGGGAAGAGACCCTGAGGAGTAGATACTTGGGAGTAGAACACCTGGGGCAAATTACTGAGGAGTCACAGAGGCTCCATATTCTTATCTGAGGGTGGAGAGAATTACAAGTATGAGGCACAGGAAAAACAAGAAATCAAAGGATGAAACTCTAACCATTATTTTGTGTTAAATGTCACATTCTTTTACAGCATACCTGACGACAAGCTCCAAAGTGTAGGGGGGGTTTTGAAGTTTTGTTCACTGATCTATTCTCAGCACCTACAACAGTGTCTGGCAAAGAACAGTGATCAAAAACTATTCGATGTATGAATAAACATTCACGCATTTATTGGGTGAACTGAGCTAACAATCTGAAACCAAAGTCACAAGAAAATTAAATAATCAAACATATTCTAAAGAATAAGTTACTAGCCATTTATTATTTGTCACTTGCTAACACCACTGGACTTCACGACTTAACCTCTACGGGTTGAGAGGCCTCAACTGCAGGGGGAAAATGCTGGTTCTGTGTAACGTCCAGGGCTACCCCGAGGGTGACGCTGAGCCGATCCGGAGGCCCTCGCGCCCCGCAGCAGGGAGAGCCCTCTTGGCCCGACGCGAGGCCCCTCTGGGGGCCAGTCAGGAGCGCGGCCTGGGCCGCCAGACCCCTAAGCGTGTGGAGAGCGCTGTGCGCCCCGCAGCCACGGCCGCTCGAGTGCCTCCCAGGTTCACCTATCGCAAAATGGGGCTTTGGGGCGGTTAAGCAACTTGGCCGAAGTCACCAGAGGACTCGTTTGTCTTCCTTCCGAGGCACAGAACACTGCGGAGAGAGCTGAACTAAAGTCCTAGGAATGGAAGAAGAACTAAAAACAAGCCACCTCAGCGGCCCAGGGACAAACATCCCCTAAGGTGAAATACCTTTGCTCGGCCTTCCCAACGGGAGCCTACTTGCCCTGCTCTTCCCACAACCTGTAAAACCACTTCAGAAAGTCACGTGGCTTCCTGTTTAAAGGCTCCCCACGGGCAGCGGCACAGCTGGTAAACAACCCCGACTTCCGCGTCGCTTCCCATTGGCCCATCCAGGGGCGGGGCCTGCGAGCGCGGAGCCTCACTGGCTACGAGGGGCATTTTTCTCCTCGGCAGGCCCCGTCCGGAGGCAGGGACACAACAGGCCTAAATCTCAGGGACTCTGAGAGTCCAGCGCAATGCCTGCGGCGACCAAAAGGTGATCAAGGTCGTCGCTGGGCCGCCCTCCTAGAGACTAAAGGGGTCGTCGATACCCAGGTGGGCGGAAAGCCCATCTCCTCCGCCCTGCAGAAAACTCCTCCTGTTCGCACGGACATAAACACAGCCCGACACGGAGCGCGGCGCTGCCTGCACAAAGGCGATCTGGTTCGGCAGACCAGAAACTGGAGGGGGAGACCGGAGCCCTAAAATCGGGTTACTCTCGCAAGCCAGTCCCTCCCCGAATCCGTGCGGTCTTGACAACTGCACCTGTTCGTTCTGCCAACCAGGTGGTCGTAAACGCGTAATCACGACCCCAGCACGACCTCAGCCTCGGGTTGTGGGGGGGAAGGCTACCTGAGGGCAACAGGTGTTCCCCATTCGGACCCCTCAAAGGGAACAGCGGGAGTGCAGGAGTCGCCTTCAGGGCCGCTAAGAGCTTTTCGAAAGCCAGAAGTCCAGGACTGCGGTGCGCAGAGCGGATTCCTTCCCACCCCGGGGCCCGTGGGAGAGTCCGTGCGCGGCGCCCGACCAGGGGCCAGCCGGGATCCCGTTCCCGCGACGGGCGCGACCGCCCGGCCCGAAAAGACCCTCGCCTCCCTCCCCAGCCCCAGCTCCGCGGGCGCACCTCCAGCGTGTAGCTCTCGCTCATGCTCCGATAGCTGTCCCAGGCCTCGGCCCGCGCCGCCTCGTCCATGTTGAGGCGGCAGCACAGCTCGTCGAACCGCTGCAGGGTCTGAGGGGTCGGCGACCGGGCCGGCGGCGCGGCGCCCCTCGCCTCTCCCTCATCCTCTTCCTCCTCCTCCGAGCTGGCCACCACCGGAGGGGGTGGTGGGGGCGGCGGCGACTCGTCGCCTCCGGACGGCATAGCGCAACCCTGGACGATCGGTCGGTCCTCAGGTGTGCAGAGGGGCTGGGCCCCTAGCCATTCAAACTGCGAAGCGCCCGCCCGTCGGCCGCTTATAAGAACTGCGCCGCGCTGACGGTGCGTGACCTCACGTAGGCACCCGTAGTTCTGAGCACGGCCTGCCGGGAAATGTAGTCCGGGCCGGAAATGCAAGCGGGTCAAAAATGATTTTTAAAAAATCGATTCGCGTAGTCTCACCTGAATGAAATAAAAGGGGCTTCTCTAAATTTTAAGTACTTCCTCATAGTGAGATTATTCCGCAGGGCTCTATCGAAAAGAAAACATCCAAGAAACATTGACGTGTGACTGTTTAATATCCAAGCTGTTAAGCAGAAAGACGACTGACTCATCATCACCTTGGTGTCCTTATTTATAAAGTAAGAATAGGGTCTGCCTACCGAGGTTCATTTTTGGCCTCGTTTCTAATTTCTAGTTTTTCCTGAGTTTAAATTTTATTTGAGCCACTTAAATAAAAATTGGACTTTTTTCTTTAAGCAGTAATTCCTTCTCCCGCTCCCCACAATAAGGCCAATATGTGTTCACCGTGACATATTTGTACTATCCTCAGTCACCCAGTTAAATTTACGGCTTTACTTTTATTTTACTTTCTCTTCCTATCTGTAGACTTGAATCACTTTATTTCCAGTCTTCTTTGGTTTACACGAGTATAGTGTACAACATTTTCAAGCTTGAGGAGCGGAAAGGCAATGTAAAAGCAGGAAAATAAATACTGGGACAAAAGCCAGTTTTGTGAAACTTGAGCAGGAGCCTGGAGTAAAGGTGAGGACGCCTGGAGGCAGGGAGGAGGACCTGGGAAAACGAAACCAAACGAAACCCAGTGCATAAAACCTGCAGTAAAATTCACTCATTCGAGTCGGGTTTGATTTTTACGGGCTGACAGAAGGTGATCCAGGGCAAGCAAAGAGGTGGAATACAACTGCCTTATACGTATTTGTAAATGAGTTTATAAGAGATTCTAGTACTTTCCTTATACTTAGGCTGGTGATACCTAAATTTTAGAATAATGATATTGCTTATTTTGGACACCATCAACACTTTACCAGATGAAAAAACCGGTTTACAGGTAAAATTCTACCAATTTTAGTAAAATTTAATGTAATTGAAGTAAAATTTATAGTGATAAACTATCGAATAACTATTTTATTAAAATAATGCTTTTCTTGTTAATACCATTATTTTCAAAGCCAATGGATTCTAAATATTTGATACTATCACCCATTTTAAAAGTACATTTACAAAACTTTAACTATTAGAATTTTTTCCCCTTTCTCATTTACCTTATTCCCACTATTCCTAAAATATTTTACCCTCTTTTGTGCTTGAAAGTCTGTTCTTGATCTTTCATATTTCCTGTCACCAAAAATGTATGTACAAATTAATTTTTAAGTATTCTTCTGTTTATTCTTCTATGTCAGATTCATTGAGATGTAATTTGCATGCAGTGAAATTTGCTCTTAAGTGTACAGTTCTATGAATTTTGACGAATACTATCATGTCCACCACAACCAAAATACAGAACATTTCTATCGCCCAACGTTTCCTAGTGCCCCTTGGTAGTGAACCCCTCCTCACACAGCCCCAGAAAACCACTGATCAGTTTTCTGTCCCCATAGCATCCCTATCTTCCAAAATGTCATATGGATGTAATATACATTATGTAATCTTTGATTTGGCTTCTCTCAGCATAATGCCTTTCAGATTCATCCAGGCTGTTGCTTCTGTAAGTGGCTTGTTCCTTTTTATTGCTAAGTCCTATCAGTTGCACGACAACTGGCCCAACATTTATTTATGCACTCACCAGTTGAAAACATCCAGGTTGTTTCTAGTTTTTGGTGGTTATGAGAAAAGCTACTCTTAACATTCATGTGTATATTTTTGCATGACATAAGTTTTCATATGGTCCAGCATTTCCACTCCTGGGAATTTATCCAGGGGAAACAAAATCACCCCTATGTTCCTGGCACCATTATTCACAGTAGCATAGAGATAAATTATACACCAGAGTTCATCAAGGGATGGATAAAGAAAAAAATTTAAACACACACACACACACACACACACACACACACACACACACACAAATGGAATATAATTTAGCCATATAAATGGAAATCCCGCCATTTGTGACACAGATGGCCCTTGAGTGCATTACATATATATAAAATAATTTAAACAGAGAAAAGACAATTACTGTATGATCTCACATGTGGAATCTCAAAATAAAAAATACAAACACATAGATACAGAGAACAGAGGTGGGATATGGTGGGGGGAGTAGATGGGGGCAAAATGGGAGAAGGTGGTCCAAAGTTACAAACTTCCCAAATTATAAGTCCTGGGGATATAATGGACAGCATGGTGACTGTAAGTAACAATGCTCTATTGTGTATCTGAAAGTTGCTGAGCGCAGATCTTACAAATTCTCATCACAAGTATTGTAACTCTGTGTGGTAATGGATGTTAACTACACTTATGGTAATCATTTCCCAATATATACATACATCAAATCATTATGCTGTACACCTAAAATTAATACTATGTCAATTACCTCAATTAAAAAATATTAATTATTAAGAGGTTTGGGTCTTGGATTCTGATTATTCCTCTCGCACTCATTCATTCAGCCAGAAAGTCTGCCATCCATCCATCCACCCAAATACTCAGACAAATGCCAGTGCCTACTGTATGTCAAGCACTTTGGCAAGCACTGAGGATATAGTAGGGAATGAGACAAGCATGCTCTCTGCCCTCACAGAGCTTGTGAGCTCATCGGTGAAAGAGACCTAGAACAAGTTAACTGTCAACTGTAAATTTAAAAAAAATAATAAATTCCAGGAGGTGTAGGAGTGCATCACAAGAGACCTTAAACTTAAGCGCGTGCGTGCGCGTGTGTGTGTAGGAGCTCAATAATTAGATATTAAATAAATTATACTGTTTATATATTAGAATGAGAAAGTCCTTAAAAATGTTTTGGAAGATTCTTTAATGACATGGAAAGATAATCATGATATAGTAAATGAAAAAAAGGTTACAAAAATGGTATGTACAGTATAACTCCATTCTTATTAAAATAATATATAATATGTATCTGCAAAGAAAAATGACCTGACAGTTTACAATTATCTGGGTGTACAGCATTATGGGGGATTTTGTTTACTTTGTGCTTTCCCTAGTTCCCCTCCCCTCCCCCAGATTTTCCGTAATACTCTTGTCTTGGTTTTTATTAAGAAAAAGGATTTAAAAATTCATCAAGATGTTATTTTGCCTATTAATTTGGCAAGTTATTTCAAAGGACAATACACAGTATTGGTAAGGATTTGGGGTAAATGAACATTCACAAAATGTACCCTGCTAATGGTAGTATAAATTGCAACTAATGGTATCCTTATAAATTTGGCAACACAAATCAAGACACTTAAAAATAAAGGAAGTATTTTCACTTTTAGGGATAAAGGAAATCATTAGGGATAGATGCAAAAAAATGCATATATAAACCCAAATGTCTTAAACCCAAATTTTTAAGTACTTGGTTAAATAAAATACAACAGTATGAGCCAATACTAAATTGTTAAGATTAAAAATCACATTGCAGGATACTTATTGACATAGGTCAGTATATTGGGGGCTGAAGAGTAAATATTATGCCCCATGTAATACTGATTTAATAGGAAAATGTATTAGTTTCCTAGGGCTACCATAACAAATTACCACAAACTGGGTGGCTTAAAACAGAAATTTATTCTCTCACAGTTCTGAAGGCTAGAAGTCCAAAATCAAGATGTTGGCAAGGGTGGTTCCTTCCGGAGGCTCTGAATGAGAATCTGTTCCATGCTGCTCTTCTAGCTTCTGGTGGCTGCTGGTGACCCTTGGTGTCCACTCCAATCTCTGCCTCTGGTCTCATAACGCTCTTCCCTGCATGTCCTCTCCTCTTCTTACAAGGGTGCCTGCCACTGGATTTAAGGCCCACCCTAATCTAGTATGTTAGAATCTTAACTAATTACATCTGTCAACACTATTTTCAAATAAGGTCACATTCTGAGGTTCTCCGTTGACATAAATTTTTGTAGGACACTAATCAACCTACCACAGGTATATAACATACATAGAAAAAAGACTGGAAATCTATACCAACAACATTTTTTATCTCAGGGTAGGTTTATGAATGATTTAAATATTTTTGTGTTTTTCTGCACTTAAAAATAAATAGCTTATGTACTGGAGTTACATTTATATAGGAATTAAGTTCTAAATTTCTTGTATAAGGTGAAGATTACCTGTAGTCAAATATCACTCTTTTCCCTCCTACAGCTCACAAAATACAGAACACATAAGTTTATAGTGTATCTTCTCTCAAAAACATCCACCATGGCCGGCTCCTCCTCCAGCATCAGGGTAGATTACTGGTCTTCTGGGTGAGCACTAGATGAAGTAGTTGGCTTGTGTTTACATGCTATATTGTACGAAAAAAGAAAGAGAGGTTTTCTAAGCATAAAAGTATAGTTGAATGTGTTCAAGTTAAATGAGTGTATAATGAGACTCCACTGTTTTACTTTGGTAATTAGAGGAAAAACAAATTTTTCACGTTTACAAAAGACACTATCAACAAAGGCAATGAATTGGAAAACTCCTAAGACCACGTGAAAAAATAATTAATGACTTCTAAATGAATGCCTTTAAGAGGTTAGGTATATCTCTGAGTCTTTCTGGATTATTTTTAAGGTTCAGAGAAGAAAACTTAAGGAAATAGTAATATTGTGAATATAATTATTACCAAATTCTGTCTCTTAAAAATTCTTCCCAATTATAATTTCCATTTAAAGATTTAGGACTATAGTTTCTTTCATTACTTTCAAGATAAGTTAGCTATATAAAAATTCAATTCAAAAAGAAGTATTGTCATGTACAGAGGCTGACATCGTGGGTAGTCAAAGAATATGTTTAATAAAAAATAATTAAACTTCCATTTGCTCTATAGAACATCATAGAAAGTAATTTAATAAATTACAAATGACTTTTTAAGACGTTTGCTCAACTACAG